TCTCCCAAAATATTTGTGTCCTGTCACCTCACCCAAAATATTTGTGTCCTGTCACCTCTCCCAAAAACGAATATAAGTGGGATCTGAGTATGTATAATTGACACGCACCGCTCCTGCGCCAGGTAAGTCCACTACGGGCTCACCACAGCCCATGCTGCTTGCCCGGCTCCTGTGCCAGGTAATTTACGGGCTCACCATAGCCCGTGCTACTTGGAACTTGTTCCGAGTAGCTGAATCTATAACAACAACAATATGTATAATTGTCTTTGAAAATATAAGAAGTGTCTTGTAAAACGCTTCCAGGCGTCAACCATAAATAAAGTGTGAAAATAAACTTTGGAGAGTTAATTTTACAACTACCCCTGACAGTGAAAAAAAACATAAAAAAAATATTGAGAAGATTCGTGTTAGAATCATTAATCTTACCCTTTCGGTCACCTAGAGCCGCCAGTTTTCACTTTCAGTGCATTAGTGTGGCGATTTAGAGAGAAAATGCTCACTGCATCCATGGTTCCTGCTCGCCATCTGAGGAGGTCTACAACTTGTGACAAGTAGCCTTATACCCTGCATGTAACCAATGTTGTAACCTTTTTTGTGTAATGAAATTTTAAAATAAAGTTAAGACATATATACACACATACAAAAAGAATAGGGATGGTAGGAGAAGAAAATAACAGTGTTCAGTGAGGATCCACAAGGTCTTCCCTGAGTACTCTTTATTTTCTTCTCCGAGGTTATGAGTCCCTACACTTGCACCAGAGGTGGTACCCCTTTTACGTTCAACAACATACATATATATATATATATATATATATATATATATATATATATATATATATATATATATATATATATATATATATATTATATGAGGTAGTTACAAAGCTCAAGTATTTCATACCATTTGGCAGGGGCACTAGTGGTGGAGAGCGGGTCCTATTTCTTGTTAACACAGTTTACAATTATAACGCTCACCGTCGGAGCCTATAACGCCTGTAATGTATTTCCAAAACTTTCCGAACACGCAACATATCACTATGTAGCTAACTTCATGTGATTTTTTTTTACATAACTCGATTACGAATATCGAAGAAATGTATAAATATTTCGTCCAAAAATATATATTACTCAAATTCTTCAGTCAAGTATCCAAAGTTTGTTTGCTAAATAGTACATGGAAGCACATCCTTGACTTATTATATACTATAACTTTTCTTACAGTTCCTAGAAAAGTCACCTAAAAAAGAAGTATTCACCAGAATCGAGTAATACAGAACTCGTGTTTTACAAGAAGGGAGAGAAGACGGATATGGAAGCTAGCATCTAGTGTTGTCACTTGAGTACAAGATGGACTTACTCTAGTTGCTACTGAACTGTACGTTCTCCAGGAAGACACTGAAGGTATACCTCGTTATGTTACAGCGATGGATGGTACACCACTCGGTGTGTACGGTGCTCAGGTGGTGGCTGGCAGGTCTGACTGTCACAAGTGCTCGCACCACCATCCACACAGCGCGAGAACACACTGATCACTGCACTCTGTACCTGCATCCTCGCCCACACTCTGGCCGTTAATTCACAACTACTATACTTCCCTCTCTCATCTACAATCAAGTATAAATTTGCCAGTGGAGTATCTTTTCCCTTCCCTAAAATCTATTGTACCTTCTTATAAATGAAAATATAAAATATCTGCCAACGATGTGAAACCACTGGCGAGGCTTGCGACGAGAATGATGGCCAGTGAGGCAGCGGTCCATGCGATCCCCCTGCGGCACCTGCACTGACTGGCCAAGAATTTAGTTTAGTTTACCTCATGTATTGTCCTCCCCATACCCATCCTGGTCGAGAGATATTGAAAGAACTGAACATTACATTCCACCAGAGAAGAATAAGAGTATCATCACGTCAGAAATATAGCCTGTTAAAAATGTGAGGAAACTGTATATAATTGCCTGAATTTACCTGGGGGCCACTATATCTTTAATGGCCTCGACAAGGACAGGAAACCGGCGGCTTGTCACAGGTTCCCTATTTGGCCTGATGATTTTATCGAGCTGGATTTTTAAATTCAGCAGTGTTTTGGCATTTACGGCTTCGGCGGGTAGGCAGTTCCATGGGTTTATAACCCTATGGGCAAAAAAAGCATCTCCTGTTTTCTTCTGTGACTTATTGAACTTGAAACCCTTGCTCCTTGTTTGTGTTACACATGTAGAGACATCTTGAGGTTATCTTGAGATGATTTCAGGGCTTTAGTGTCCCCGCGGCCCGGTCCTCGACCAGGCCGGTCTTTAAATTAATTAATAAATTAATAACATTACATTACAGCAGATTGATGAAGAAAAGCGCCTTAATAGAGTCAAAATTCACCATTCAATGAAAGTTACACAACAGGTAGGAACAGCAGTAAAAAAAGCTAACCAAACCTTTGGAATAATTAAGCGTACCTTTGACTTAAGGAAAAGAAGGTAGTGATTCAATTGTATAGACTTCTGGTGCTCCCCCATTTGGATTACTGTAGCCAAGCATGGAGACCTCACCTTCAGAAGGATATAGCTGCTCTGGAGAAAGTCCAAAACTCGGCAACAAAAATAATTCCAGAGCTAAGTTAACTCTCGTATCAGGATCGGTTGAGGGCCACAGGGCTATAACAACACTGCAAAAGACAAGGCGGATCTCAATAAAACTTTTGAAATACTGAACAATTTGGAAGATGTTGATACGGACAATTTCTTCAAAAGGTCAGATATAACACCTGGTATGCGGACACGAGCGGACAGCACACTGGACACGTGATCTTGTGGTCCTGGGGTTCGATCCCGGGCGCCGGCGAGAAACGATGAGCAGTTTCTTTCACCCTATGCCCCTGTTATCTAGCATTAAATAGGTGCCTGGGAGTTAGTCAGCTGTCACGGGCTGCTTCCTGGGGGTGGAGGCCTAGTCGAGGACCAGGCCGCGGGGATACTAAAGCCCCGAAATCAACTCAAGATAACACAAACAAGGAGCTATGGTTTTAAGCTCAACAAGCCACAATAGGACTGAGAACAGATGACTTTTCACCCACAAGATTATAAACCCATGGAACCGACTACCCGCCTAAGCCATAAATACCAAAATTGTGTTAAGTTTTAATATCCACCTGAAAAGATCATATAGGCAAATGGGGGGACGTTCAACAAGCTACCGGCTTCCTGTCCTTGTCGAGGCCATTAGTGTTAGTGATCCTCAGGTAAATTCAGGTAAATATAGTTGGTTCTAAATTCATTCGTATTACAGGACTGCATTTTTCTAATGTGTGACCGCAACGCTGCACTGGGAATAAAATATTTAATTTTTAATTTTATTATATTTAAAATATTGCCAATTAAAATTAATTTGAAAATGACCTGATTTATCTGATTTTGTTTAACTGAATAATATACAATTGGGGGTGAAGCACAAGCAGAAAAGGGAAGTAGCAAAGGAAGTGCAGAGAGCACGGAAAGTGCGAGGAAAACGTGGCGTGCGACAGAGCAGCACGTGGTGGGCGCGTTCTGGACACGTGCAGGTCACGAAGGTAAGACCTTGGAAGGGGGGGGGTGTTCGCATGAGGGAGTAAAAAACGCAGCATAGGGGACGGGGGGAGCACAGGGGTGAGCAGACGCTATGAGGAGCACAAGGGCTTAGTGAGGGGCATGTATGGGACATAGGTGTGGGGAGCGTGTGCACTGGTTCATGCTAGGATCACCCAGTAGGGGCGGAAGAACACAGGAGGTGCATGGAGAGTTTGGAGCGTGCAGGGAGAGTTTGGAGCGTGCATGGAAGGCACCTGCGTGAAAGAGCATTGAGACAACTCAAAATAAGTCTGAATTAATGAGTTCCTTGCTAATTTTCAATTGTATTATGAATGTTACTGTATAATGATTAATGGAATATATGAAGAGTACAATAAATGTTATAAATGAAAATGTGAAAATATCACAAATTAATGTAGGTTAAAAAAAAAGTGGATGATTAAAAAACATCATTCCTTGAATACTAAACTTATTTTTTGTATTTAGAATACTTGACAAATTAGGACATACAGTCTAGTCCTAATTTTTGTGTCCCATCCAAGGGCATGCCTGCTGATGCATACAGGGAGTGCCATACATACAGGGGGCCTGACATCTGAGTGGATAGCGCTTTGGATTCGTAGTCCTGAGGTTCCGGGTTCGATCCCCAGTGGAGGCGGAAACAAATAGGCAGTAAATAGGTACCTTGGAGTTAGACGGCCGCTTTCTGGGGGTGTGTAACAAAAAGGAGGCCTGGTTGAGGACCTGGCCACGGGGACGCTAAGCCCCAAAATCATCTCAGGATAACCTCAAGATATGCTTGTGTCCCACACAAGATGTGGAAAAGAATCAGGACTCTAGGTTATAAGGAGTCCTAATTCGTCAAGTATCATTCTAAATACAAAAATTAAGTTTAGTATTCGAGGAATGATGTATTTTAGTCATCCACCTCTTTTTTATCCTACCTTGATGTGTGCTATCTTATCATTTTAATTTCTAACAAATTAGTATTGCACTCTTCATATTCACTATTATTCAGAATATTTATAATGATCAGAATCTTGAAAAAGAACAAGGAACTCGTTAATGCAGGCCGATTTAATTTTCACATCAGGTGATATTTTTGTCTATTAACACCAAACTACAAAGGACCAAACTTCTAGTCTGAAGTTCAGATGTCTGGATAAATGTTACAGTATGTTGAAACTATTGTTCTGATGCAGTTTTTAAACCATTGCACTGAACGATTCTTTTCTTTTTTTGTCATGAAGCAAGCAGTCCAATTTATTGCAACAAAAATTTTAAAGACACACACTGCACTATGTAATTATCTTTGTAAAATAACAAGCAATTCAATACAATATTTTATATAATTTTTACTAATACAAATGTAATGTTTTGGTACTTTTTGTTCTTTGGAAAAGAATTACCAGTCTCCATGGTGTAGTGGTAAGACGCTCACCTGGCGTTTCGCGAGCGCTTTGTCATGGGTTCGTATCCTGGCAGGGGAGCATTTAATGGGCGCCAATCCTTAACTGTAGCCTCTGTTTATCTCAACAGTAAAATGGGTACTTGGTTGTAAAAGATTCTCCGTGGGGGTCGTATTCCAGGGACCATAGGATTAAGGACTTGCCCGAAACGCTATGCATGCTAGTGGCTGTACAAGAATGTAGCAACTCTTGTATATCTCTCTCCAAAAAATAAAATATATATATAGGAGTAAAGATGAATGTGACCTATTCTTTCCAGTAATACAGATGGTCAATATCCTCAGCCTAACATTCAATCCCTGGGCAGAACAAACAATTTGGCACATTTCCTTTCACCTGATACCTCTTTATCTTGCAGTAAAATAGGTACCATGAAGATAAACAATTGCATGTTGTGGGTTGTTTCCAGAGAAAGGTCAGTAGCTGGCCTAGGTGGACCTTGGTAACACCAAGGCCAACTTCCAACCCCTTCCCTATCACCAACATGAGTTATATACATGACTGAGTACATCCACACTAACATTTACAATATATGGATAAGGATTATGAAATAAAAAATGTTGTCATAAATTTATACTTTATTTACATCATATTCTGTGTTGCCATTAACATGAAAGATTTCAGAAATGCTTTAACTTGAATATGTACAGGGCAGAAAAATCACACTGCATTAAAGCCATAGAAAGATACATAAGTTTCCCGTTATTCGTAAACTGTACCTTATCTTACTATTAAATGGCTTTCAGATCAGCAGCAATGATTGTAATAAATATATTCTTATAATGCAAATTACATGACATGCAAACATTTTCTGAATATCTTATTCCAAAACTAAACTGCTTAAAAATAAAATATAAGAAAGCCTAATCACAAATTATTTCCTGTACCACATCTGGAGTGTCTTCATTTTCTTTACTTTGCGTTGGAGTTGCAGGAGTGAATAGAGCAGAGCCTCGGCTGTGGGTGGGCAACCTGGCACATAAAGGTCCACTGGAATTATGCGATCACAACCCCGGACCACCGAGTAGGAGTAGTGGTAATATCCACCCCCATTTGCACATGACCCCATAGAAATGACCCATCTTGGTTCAGGCATCTGGAAAAAAACAACAACAATCATAGCAACACTATAGCCTCCTAGAATTAATATGAAATTACAACTACAATAGTAAAAAAATCTGTGATCAATATAAGAATGAATGGCAAACATTTTTCTATTTTCAAAAGTTTTATTTTTCAGTACTAAGCCATTAAATGGCTGAGCAAAACAAAAGTGTTCCACCTATCTCAAGCTTTTTCAGTGCTAGAAAAATATTTGTTTTTGTAGAATTTTAGGCCATGAATATTTACACAGACAAATACAAAGTTATCTGTAAATATATATAGCCTTCCTTCACTATCATATTCTGTGTTGCCATCATGTTCTGTATTACCTCATTCATTCTCTCTCTGGGTTGAAGCTTACCCACCCTATGAAAATAGGAAATGGAGGTAATGATAATGAATACAAAAGGATACAAACTTTAGGAGTAACTGGAATATGTCAATCTTGATGTATGCAGATGATACAATACATTTAGCAGTGATACAGATTTATAGAGACTAGTTGAATACTGTATTCATGTGTTTTGATAAAGCTTTCCAAGCAAAGAAGATTAAAACAAAGAAATTGTGTGCAAAATAAATGTAAATGGAAAAAGGGATGATCAATTTAAATAACAGGGCTGTGATTGATAAAAAATTTGTTCAAAGATTGGGGGTAAATAAGAGAAGAAAGACTATTGCAATAAAAGCCCTGGTTAGAAAACACATGACAGGATGAGATGCAACTTATATACTGCACACAGTAATGGTACTGGCATAGTGTTTACCCATATGGAAGGAAAACAATTGTGTGATATGAATGTGAAAAATCAAGACTGGGGAAAAAAAGAAATGGACACACTGAAAAGCATAACTGGCATTAGAAGAAGTGTGAGAAATGAAAATGCCATTGTAAGATGTGTAGTGCAAATGTTAATAAATGAGCAAGGCTGAGGAGTGTCCCGAGATATTTTTGGAATATTTAATGAATTGATTATAAGAGTGAATACAAATTAATTTAAAAGTAGGTAGAGGGAGGATGACCGAGATGACAGACTGACATGGTATGTGCACAAGGGGAAAATGAACATGAATGAAGTGCTGTATATGATAAAGGACAATATTGGATGGCAGTAAGGGAATAACTGCACTTGTACGTAATTTAACAACTCATAAGAAACAATATACACCTGGTATTATGAAATGGAAAGGTGCTGCTGTGGATGTACACCCTTACAAAATGTTAGCACATTACCCCAGAAAATTTTCACTCGATCCCTAGTTCCTCTTGCAATCATTCACCATATCCACCCATCCTCTCCTACTGTCAAATTTACTAAAATACTCTCTTTGGTAATCTACTGTAATCTATTCAACATGACCAAACTATTTGATGCTATATAGTGCAAAATATATAATGATTGGATGCTATTTTTTTGACTTATGAATCTTTTATAATTTGCTCTTCATTTTTGTTTAACTAGGTAGGTGCATCTCTAGACTATTAAACTAGAAAATGGTAAAACCTATGAAAATATATTATAGCTTTAATTCACCTAGTGATAAATGACAAATGACTTAAATGGTCATTTAAGTTATTATCATGTATAAATTAGTTAGCAGGTACTGTCAACATAAAACTTATTCCCTTCCCTCAATTTCCCTGACTATAGTCATATTGCAAAAAATTTAACTAATTCTAGCAGGATAAAAAACTAACATTGACTTCATAATTGATTTGAAAGCTAAATCATGCTAAATAGTTCTTCTAAACTTAGAGGATCTTAACCTCATTTTGCACAAGGCCAATTCATTGCTACTTGGTTGATCATTTCTTGCCAAGAGGTGGAGGCACAACTACATAAACGATCTTCCAGAAGGAATACAGAATTATATGAACATGTTTGCGGATGATGCTAAAATACTGGGGAAGACAGGAGACGCAGACAATTGTAATGCACTTCAAACTGATCTACTGTAGATAAAATAAGTGCTTGGAGCATCAAGTGGCAAATGGAATTCAATGTGAATAAATGTCATGTTATGGAATTGTGGAATCTGAGAAAATAGACCACACACAACTTACAAATTACGTGGAAAGGAATTACAGAACTCTAATAAAGAATGAGACCTTGGGGTGTCTTTGGATAGTAAGCTGTCGTCAGAGGAAAACAAAGAACATTGCGAGAGGAGGATGTGTGTGGCTTTCTAACTTCAGACTTGCTTTAATGATATGAATGGTGAAATACTAAAGAATCTGTTAATGACTTGTGAGACCAAATTGGAATACGCAGCAGTTGCATGGTGCCTAAATCTCAAACAAAAACTGGAAAAGGTGCAACGACATGATTCAAAATGGCTTCCAGAACTGAAAAACAAGAGTTACGAGGAGAAACTAGAGGCGTTAAACATGCCAAAACTAGAAGATAGAAGAAAAGTGATATGATCACCACTTACAAAATACTAACAGGAATTGACCAAATTGACAAAAAAGGTTATTCCTGAAACCAGCAACTTCACGAACAAGAGAACACAGATTCAAGCTAAGGAAACAAAGGTGCCGAAAAAAAAGTAGAAAGTTTTCTTTTTGCAAACAGTGGTATACAGTTGGAAAAAAGATGTAAGAAGGTGGTGGAGGCCAAAATTGTCTATCTTGAGATGATTTCGGGGCTTTTTAGTGTCCCCGCGGCCCGGTCATCGACCAGGCCTACACCCCCAGGAAGCAGCCCGTGACAGCTGACTAACACCCAGGTACCTATTTTACTGCTAGGTAACAGGGGCATAGGGTGAAAGAAACTCTGCCCATTGTTTCTTGCCGGCGCCTGGGATTGAACCCAGGACCACAGGATCACAACATGCTGTCCACTCGGCCGACCGGCTCCCTGTAGGTTTAAAGCATCATACAACAAAGAGCACTAAGAAGATGGGACACCACGAGCGTAGCTCTCATCCTGTAACTACACTTAGGTTACAGGATGAGAGCTATAACTACACTTACCACAATTGTAGAAGTACACATAGGTGCCAAACTAAGTTTGCTCAAGTCAAATCAAATGTTTATTCAGGTAAATGTACATACATAAAGGATTAGTTATGAACATAATGTTGGATTTATAGATAGAGCTAGTACATACAATACCTAAATCCACTAGTACGCATAGCATTTCAGGCAAGGTGAGGTGGGGAAAAAAACACTTAGGCTAAAACTTAATAGTAATTGAGCTTAAAGTATAAATTGCATTGAAAGAAAAAAATAGATAAAAAAGGGGGGAACATAGTAGAAAATAGCCAATATACAAGTTGGTCAACAAACAGCATTGTTTAAAAATTATAAGACATGGGTTGACATTTAGGGGTAAGGTAGGTTACATGGAGTTACAAGTGTCTTTTATTGTCTTCTTTGAGGCATATGGGTCCTCACAAATTCAACCAGAGATGGTACCCCTTCCTCATTACTAACTTCATAGCCTCACCCCATCCTCCCCCACACACACTATTATCTAAACATTACTCTTGAGAGCATAAAGTAGAATCAAGGAATTTTATTTATACAGTACTTCTACATCAAAAATGTCACTGGAAATAAAGCTCAGTAAAGATCACAAACCTGATCATAGACTTTTCTTAAGGCTGGAGCCATCTTGTTCGTGACGGTTCCTGCCACAATTATAACATCTGCCTGACGGGGAGATGCTCGAAAAACAATTCCAAAACGATCTATATCATAACGGGCAGCTGCACACTGCATCATCTCCACTGCACAACATGCCAAACCAAAAGTCAGTGGCCACAATGAACCCTAAAAAAAATTAACAAATTAATAATATAAAATACATATGCAAGCACAGTACTGTACTGTAGGACTTTGGTAATTAACATGCCAGTAACACAAATCTCCAAGTATAATCAGAATGAATTCACATTTGAGTTTTTAACCCTTTTTATTACCATTTAACCCAAATAAAAATTTGGGTTACTAAGATTTCTGCCAAGCAGGAAATTCAAACAAATTTGAACTACAGTAGTTCTCTTGACTTCTCAAATTGAATAGAAATGCAGGTTATTAAGATTTCTGCCAAGTGAAAACCTGAATAAATTTGAATTTGTTAACTTTTTAGACATTCCTGGTAAAATATTCTAACTCAAATGTCTAGTTAACTTGAATAGAGGTGGGCCCCATATAATCTGGATTACCAAGCATAAACAGTAACAATACAATACTGTAATAATAAAACTAAGGATCACATATTGTTTACTTCAGGTGATGTATCCTACTCCAATATGCCAGCATATTTCATACTAAACAATATTAGAACATTTTATGAAAAATGCAAATGTACCCCCTCCTCTACATTATCAGTCTATATGCCAGGTACCTGGTACTGTAGTTTTACTGTACATATACTGTATAATAAGGTCATTCAGTAGTCTTCCTACAATTATTCAAATCATGGATAATTATTTGGGGGGAAGGAGGGTATGATAAAAGGTAATTTTAAAATTAAGTAAAATACATAAACATTTAAGGTGCAAAAAATTGTATTTAAACTATTCTTACAGTATACAGTATAAGAAAAAAATTCTTCACTTAGCTTGGTTGAGCTACAAGTGCTATTTTGTTATTCTATAAGGCCAGAATAATTATACTCAATCCATTCAAGTGCTACAAAAACAAGGAAGTTGGGGCCACCCCGCAGGTGAGGTTATGGTGGCATTCTCAGTAGTGCTACGACCGGCCACCTACCAAATGTGGCCTAGCATCTCGAGGGAAATAGTGGGTGTGAAATATGGGAAAAGGGGCCTAGTCTGGACCAAAATTTAATAAAGGGACAGTTCGAACAGGTGTAGATCATTAAGTGGGGCTATGACTATCAAATAATAGCCTAGTCAATGTAACAATCATCTGAAGATCTATTTATGTCATCCATGACATATCTATTTATGCTAAATCAGCCCATCCAAAATATTTCATTACAAAAAATATAACTGAAAGAAATACAAAGTTTAACAGTGAAAGCCTGTGTGATTATAATTTGGTAAGCTCAATACAGTACTGTATATGGAAGCAATTTACAGTATGCCGATGCTAACACCATGCTTCCTATCCGTCAACCAAGCTCTGATCCAACTGAGAAATCCAATCCAATCCCATGTGCCCCAACCTTCCTGATTAACCTCTTGAAGGGTACAATGTCAAAGGCTTTACTATGGTCTTGATATACAACAACATGACTTACTGCTGCCAACTGCCTCAAATACACTTGTGTAGAAGAATAGCAGATTTTTGAGACAAAATCCCCCTTGCAAAACACCAGCATTGAATGTAATGAAGGGGAAGGGTTTGCAATCTCCTACTAAGCGGGGTTTGTTTTGGGACACTTATCTTTCTGTGTGCTTAACCCCAGTCGATGGCAGACGTGGAATACTCCCAAACACGGGGTTTCCTTAGGTCATTGCTCCCTGTGCCTCTCTGAGGGGGGCCAGGTTCTGGCTCGTGGTCCCCGGTAGACAGAACGCCACTGATTGAAGCCCCAGACTAATATAGCTAATATCGGTCTGATAGCTCCAGGAAGCCGAAAGGGCTCCCCACAGAAAACCATGTTTTTTTTTTATCAGGTCATGTGTGTCAAGATATTTTATTAAATTTGCTGTTTTAGCATCAAGGAACTTTTCCACCATCATCACCACACTTATCAAAGAGTGGTTCATAGCAAGGGATCTGTCCCCCTTCTTGAATATTGGGACTACACTGGCTATCTTGCAGGCAGTAAGGACTTCCCGTATTGACTGATTTAATGAATAAAAATTCTCATTAATGGATCACAGTTCCTCTCCGCACTACATTCATTCTGCTAAACACCCACTCTGGGCCTGCCAATTTGTTTTAATCTTTAAATTTGTGTTTGATTACGTGAGTAATGAAACAAAAATGTATATACCTGAGTATCACAATCTTTTTTTTTTTGTCACCATCCCAGTAGAGTAAATTGCTTCTAAGTTGGGAAAGTAAGCTATGTCTTCACTGGTAAACACATGCAAAAGAGTTATTTAGAATATTGTTAATTTCATCTCATTATTTATCAATTGGCATGTACAATGTTTGTTTTCAGCTGTTTTCTCCACCACTTTGGTTTCAAAGCTGGAAAAAAATGTCGGTCGTGATTTTATATTTTTGGATACCCTAACTTCGATACTTTTTGCCATTTAATGTCACCTTTAAAATTTCCCTAAACATTTAATAGGTGGATCTCTATCTTCCATCATTTATACAGTACAGTATATGCCTTTCTTTTGTCCTATTGTTCTACTTCATTAACCATTTGGGGGATGTACTATCAAACTTAAGTGGTGTGATAAAGATATTGTCTTTCTTGTGGCTGTTTAACAATTCTTTGTTAATGGTGGTCAGATTAGTTTAAAATCCATTCCTCTTCTGAAATGTTTTGCTCATATCTGACCCAATTTTACCAGTCTACTCGAGTTATATCACGTCTCAATTGGTCATACTATAGTTTAAATTGAGGAAATCTGGGACAATATTATCATCATTATTTCTAGCACATCTGTTCTATATATGTACTGTGATCCCAAATCTAATCTCCTGATGATCACTGTTTCCCAACATCCCAACTAGGGGTTTTGGTAGTACAGGTAGGTTCGTTTTTATCTATCGGGAATTCCAGGTATGAATCCCAGACAAATAGCTTAAGTGTGTTTCCTATCACCTAATGCTTTGTTCACCTAGCAGAAGACAGGTATCCAGGAGTTAATCAGCTTGTTGGGAAAGGTCAGTAGTTTAACCTTGGAAGGGACCACGTTGATATACTGTAATCCTAAAATATATTTACTGGTATATTTTACCTCACTAGTGTTTACTGCAGACAAAATGTAAGTAATTATCAAAGGAAGGCACCAAACTGGGAAGGCTATGTAGCAGACAAAATGTAGTATAGCTTATGTTGCTGGAAAAATTGACAAATTTTTGGAGATGGAATGCAAGAACACAACATGCATGAGATAGGGAGGATGCAATCCATGTGACTAGCAAGATGGTCTCATAATTCCTACCCAAGGAGTGCAGTCATCATCCATCATCAATCTCTTTCTCTCCTCCCTTTCTCTGGCAATTTATAACACATTTGAGCATATTATCTTCCCTTTCTCTATAAATTTATATCACATTTGAGCATATTATCCTCCCTTTCTCTGGCAATTTATATCACATTTGAGTATATTATCTATTAGATGAACTGAATGTGTTACCAACCTTTCGACCCCAATTAATTAAGTCATCAAGTCTGGCCACTGCATATTCTGCTGCATTGGAGGTATTCTGGAAAGGCGAGTAGGGCTTGTACTTGACAGGAGCAGGGCTAGATGCAGCAGGAGCACTCTGGTGTCGAGCAGAAACTACAACAGCTCCAGTCACAGCCCTTGCCAGTTGAGGAATACTTCCACGCCAAACTATACAGTGTTAACATTTGTTAATTTTTAGAACCATTTGTCTAAATTATATTAATACAAAATTCTCTAGTTTGGCACAATGAAACATAAGGAGCTCTTGTTTAACATTTTCATTATAAAACTAAAATGTACAGTAATGTATTAAGGACTTATACATAAATATAATTATGGACAGTAATTCATACATTATTCTAACAACCAATGACAATATGGAGACTTAATATTATGCTAGTCCACACAGGGGTTCATTACAGTTCCAGGTCAAGTGTAAAAATCAAGGCCTGAGTAAATACTAGTAACTAGATTCATAAATTAATATAGAATTATGGATCAAATGACTTGGTAATATAATACAAGTTGGCACACTGGATTGTATCAAACATTGATTGTGTGTTTATGAATGAATTTGGATAGATATAAATGGGAGCTGCCTTGTATGGGCCAATAGGCCTCTGAAGTTTATTTTATTCTTATGTATTATTTTCTGGTGGTCCTCCTGTAGCTTCCCAAGCTTATGCACTGAGAAACTAAGCCTTAGGCCTCCACAGCAGGCCACTGAGGCCTATCCATTACCTAGCAAAAACCAGGATTAGATTTGGTTTGCACTATGAGGTGAAAGGAAACCTAGGGATCAGAAATCAATCCAAAACCAGAGTAAAACCCACCAGAAAGTAAAAGTTTAACAAAAGTTACTTTTATAATTAAAAACTTATCCTCCAGGAAACAAAGCAAATAACTGTGATGCACCTGCCACGAGATGCAGCCCAGGATCCCAACTGCTTTTTGTCTGTTGAGGCCCATAAAAATTTTGCCATATCTAAGTGGGTTTTGCTTCCTTGTAACTTACATTCTACTGGGGCCCATTACTTTGTTTATTTTATTTTGTCCTTCAGAATTATGTTTATGCTACCTACACTGAGTGTCCTAGCTTCTATTTCTTCATAGCCATGGGCCAGGGTCCCCTTCCCTAGGTCAGCTTGCATTTCCTTCTACCCCACTAGTGATATCTGCACTGAGGAGATTTTTTTTTATCAATGAGTTTAACTCTTAAGTCAACTTGCTTCCAGGCAGTGTTTTTTTTTTTTTTGTCCCTGTGGGGCCTGCTAATTTAAGAGACAATGTGGGGTCTGTTAATGTAAGAGACAATGGTGTCTTGTTTAGCATATTATTACTTTCCCTTCATTTTTTCCACTTAACATTTGCCTACTGAATTTGGCCCAACTCCCGGAATGTGTTTGAACCTTGCATTTTAGGCTACATTTGTCTTGTGTGTTATCAGTTTGGCTGTAATGGCTTCCACCTCTAATTTCATAAATGACACTGCTGTTTGCACTTTCAGGATGTGCTTTTAGTGCTTTGTCTGTCATTCTTGTTGAGTCTATCACTTAGCAAGAATTCAAGATTTCTTGAACTCTTTCTACCCCTCAGGTGTGCACCAATCTGCCCTCTCATGCAGCTGTCTTTCAGACTGTGGCCACTTATGTGACTAATTTTTGCACTGTCTACTTTTACTGCTCACATCTGTGGTGCATACCAATCCCCCACTGTTTTACAAGATTTGCGTTTAGTTTTGGACATTTGTGCAACATATCTGCTGTATTTTTCTATAATTTCTGCAAAGACAGGCGAGCACTAGACTCATTTTTGCCCCGCCTTGTTTGACATCTATGCTTCCTCCAGAGGTTTGGTCTCTGAAGCTATTCTAGGGAACTTTGACCCCCACGAGTATAGCCAGTTGTGGGTCTGGTGACGCTACTTCAGGGGTTGTGCCGAGGCTCAGAAATTGGCGAACTTCTTTCTCAGTCCTACCTCTAGAGGGGAAATATTCTGAGACTTTTGGGTTTGCAGAGGGGAGGGATCCAAAGGTGCCTTTTGATCTTCAGAGGCATTTTCTACCAGAGGGGGGTCATGCTGCATACAAATGGGTTCTTTTATCCTGTGTACAAAACTGATTTTTTCTGCTAATTCATCTTTTTTCACGTTGGATACATTTTCAGTGTGGACTTTGTATAAAGTTTATTCTTTATTTTATTCTCATCTTTTTTCTCATCAGCACTAAAAATATTTACTAATATATAATAGTAAAAAGTAACAATCACAGCAAGAATAAATTGCCTTATTCTGTATTAGCATTCCAAAATGCATTTGAACACTTTTCTTATGAAACCTCAGAGCTAACCATCTCAAAAGAAAACCTGTCAACTGCTGGTAGGCCTATTAGGAAGAGCCATTTAGGAGGAATATGCCTCAAGTTTTTTTAAGCTTAAAATATTGTGAACTCGAAAAATTAAGTTTGTGTGTTTAAGTTTCACAGTACATTTTCAGCACTTAACCATAACAATACAGGGTATTATGCAATCTCACAAACCAATTGTATCTTCTTGTACATAAATAAATAAATAATAAATTTCATTCTACTCTTCATACCCTTTATTTTGAGAAATAATGGTTTCCCTTCATCTGGGAAAAGATGCCTGTCAGGGTCATCGAGGTTCCCCAGGGCCAAAGTGAGTAGTGTAGCCACTGGTTATGTGACACTGACAGCATTTGTGAAGGTGGTGTTTACAAAGAACTTGCACGATACTGCAAAACAACCTATTATTGGTTGAATTCATTCTTCAGTGTAAACCTTATATGCTTATATAACCTTAGATAATCAACAGAAGAGGATATGGTTTCAAGTGTTACCGTTTTCAGTAAATTTGGATTCTCTCCATACTGCCCTTAGTGATCTGTGTAAGACTCTTGTATAGTGTGGTACATGTGCAATGGGAAGTTAACATTAAAAGACTGTGATGGTGTTACTAACTATAATACTGACCTTTCCAAGGACAACCCATGACAGGTAATTGACTAATATTTACTGCTAGGTGCGAAAAGAGGCATGTAAAAGGAAGGGCAGGAATAGGAGCAAGTTGTAAAACTTGATACAAGCCAACAAAAATTTTGCCATCCGTGATACTAAAAATAAAAAAATAAAAATATTTATTCCGGTAAAAGTACTGTACATACATATTAGATGAGTTACAATGTTGGATTTATAGATAAAGCAAGTACATACAATACGTAACACTACTAATACGCACAGTATTTTGAGCAAGGTGAGGGAAAAACACTTACACTAAAGCTTAATACTAATTGAGAATAATGTATAAATTGTGTAGAAAAAGGAAAAAGAAGGGGGGTGGGGATGCCGTAGCAGAAATCAACAATTTTACAAGTTGGTCAACAAACAGTATTGATTGAAAATAGCAAGACATGGGTTGACATTTAGGGGGTAAGGTAGGTTACATAAGAGTTTATTAGGTAGAACTTAGTTTTCCTCTTAAACTGGTTGAGAGAGGTACAGCCTTTGACATGATTGGGAAGGTCATTCCACATTCTGGGTCCCTTGATTTGTAGAGCATTTCTAGTTTGGTTAAGGCGCACTCTTGGAATATCAAATAGGTAAATTGTATGTTAAGATTTATTTTTTTTTTAACTATTCTACACACAAGCAATACATAAATACCGACTATACAAATTAATAATAATAATAATATTTTATTTAGGAAAAGTACATACATAGATGCAGAGTTATAAACATTCTGATTGATTTATAGATAGAGCTAGTACATACAATACCTAAAGCCACTAGTACGCATAGCATTTCGGGCAAGGTAAGATAGGGAAAAAAAAACAGACTAAACCTTAATAGTAATTGAGCTTAAAGTATAAATTGCATTGAAAGAAAAAAAAAATAAAAGATAAAAAAGGGGGAACATGGTAGAAAATAACCAATATACAAGTTGGTCAACAAACAGCATTGTTTAAAAAATAGTAAGACATAGGTTGACATTTAGGGGTAAGGTAGGTTACATGGAGTTAATTAGGTAGTACTTAGTTTTCATCTTAAATTGGTTGAGAGAGGTACAGCCTTTGACATGTCTGGGAAGGTCATTCCACATTCTGGGGTCTCTTGATTTGTAGAGCATTTCTAGTTTGATTAAGTCTAACTCTTGGAATATCAAATAGGTATTTGTTTCTGGTGTGGTGCCCATGGGTTCTGTTACAACCTTCTAAGAAGCTTTTAAGGTCAGGATTGACATTACAATTCAGAGTTTTAAATATATAGAGTACACATGAGAGGATGTGCAGTGACTTAATATCTAACATATTCAGAGATTTGAGTAAGGGTACCGAGTGCTGTCTGGGGGCAGTTAGATATTGTTCTAATAGCAGCTTTGTGCTGGGTAATTAGAGGACATAAATGATTTTGGGTAGTAGAACCCCAAACATAAATACCATAGTTGAGATAAGGATAGACGAGAGAGTAACAGAGCGTCACCAGGGCAGGGCAAGGAACATAATATCTGATCTTAGAAAGAATGCCAACAGTTTTAAAAACTTTTTTGCTATATTTAGAATTATTTAGAATGTAATAATTTGTATTATTGTAAGGCATATCTTTACACTACAGTATTACAGTATAATGGCAGCAAACATTGTACCCAACAATACCAATACCTTGCCTATAAGGTACTGCCGAAAGAGCAGAGCTCAACCCCCGCAAGCACAACTAGGTGAATATGAATGCTCCTTCGCCATTTAAGAACAAGCTAAAGAAGTGCTGCTCATCAGGGACACTAACAATTTATCAGATACTACAACAGTTCAAAAGCTTGCATGCTAATACAGTTGAGAAGCTGTGGTAGCTACCTGTTACATTACCGTTAACGACAAACTTTCACAACATACTGCACATGGAGGACCCCTACATAACTTATACAGACCAATGGCTGTGCTGCACATTTGGTATACAGGAGCAGAAGTATACTTCATGAAGACGGTAGGCCTAGTGTGGTCACAACTTATGACCTTTTCTCTGCCAAGAATGACTAAACCTACTTCCTGACGTGGGAAAGTAACCTTAAGGTTACTTTCTATGCTATTATACCCAACGATATACCTCATCATATCATAGTTAATAATGAGTCCATTTGGTTTACAGTACTTGGTACGGAGTTTAGCGGCTCACTAATACATTTAATATAGTTAGGCTAAGAATACCTCCATGCAGAGCCTACGTCAAAGCCACTAGTTACTGTCCGTGGAACATCCACAGAACCACCTTCCAACCTGGCCAAGCCATCAAACAGTAGTCGTCCTTAGTTTTATGGGAAATAATTATTTCAACATACGAAAACAAAGAGTATATTCTGAGATGGCCATTAAGGAGGAGGAGTGAGAGATGTTACACTCACCAGAGAGAGCCATCTTCCACCACCGTCCTGCTCACACCTCCGGTGAACTACGCCGCCAGGGTCGCCAGAGCCACACTGCTCAACAGGGGTGCCAGATCCAAATTGCTGAAAGTAGCGAGCTGAGGGTCTAAAAGTAGCGAATTTGCAATAAGAGTAGCCCAATTTTTTGTTTAGTAACTGATACAGGTTTTAAAGTAATATATTTTAATATATAGAGTACACTACACGATTTTGAAAGTTTCAGCATTACTTGGAATACGAGAAAGAAGCTCTTTGCAAGCTCTCACTTAAATATTATGGCATCTTTCTTGAATATTTTGAAACTTTTCCTGAAGTATAAAATTGTTTTGTCTGTTAATTGCCTGAAGTGTTGAAAATTCGTAACCAAAGTCCACTTTCTCCAGAGGCAGACATATGTAATTGTAGTCCAAATTAACATGAAGCTTTGCATGATGAGGATGCACGATTCTTCTGAGTATTCCAAGAGTGAAGTTTTCTAAGACAGTGTGAAGGCTACACTGATCTGCTTCGTCTTTTTGATAAAGTCAAGTCATACTTTCAAAAAGATTTAAGATTGGTCTGAGAAATGTGAAATATAGCTAATTGGGGGATCAGAGTACATTGAAAAAGTTGCCTTGTTACATATTTATCACAAGAGCAAGAATTATGCGATTTGGCAATGAGTTGTTAAAGAATCCCATTGATCTAACAGCCACTTTGCACTACCGCTCCTTGCCAACCATCGTCTTCCTAAAGCCCAAAAAGTTGCAAGTAGCGAAATTAAAAATTTGGGAGCGCGGAGCTTTCAAAAGTAGCCCAATTCACTACTTGTAGCCCAATCTGGCAACCCTGCTGCTCAAAGTAGCAAGTTATCGCTCTAAAAGTAGCGAATTTCCAATAAGAGTAGCCCAATTTTTCTTTTTAGTGACTGATATGGGTTTCAAAGTAACATATTTTGATATACAGAGTACACTACACGATTTTAATTGTTTTATTAATATTATGTCTAAAATATCTGATAATAGGGTAGTTTACCATTATTTTCTGATCAGGGGATCAGCTGTACTTGTGATCCTGCAGTGGTCCTGCTGACTTTGAATCATATTCAGCGAAAACGAAACATGATTTTTATATAAAAAGCGCAGATTGAGATTTACTTTATTTTTGTGATAAATTCTGAAGTGTGAGTTATTATTTTTAAAACATTTGAATAAAAGATGAGTATGTTGATAAAATAGGTTGATGTATAAGGAGCACGTGTTGATGTTTACTGGCGAGGTCGGGATGGTGCGAGATGGCTGCCCCTGCTGCACTTCTCCTCCGTTCACACCTTCTCCGTCTCTCTCAACACGATCACAAGTGTCAACAACTGTTCCAACATCATTTAGCTAAAGAGGTACTTTATGCTTGCGCTGTAGGGTGTATCTTGAACCGTAGACTAAGGCCTAGGCTTGCCTCATGGCTCGGCAAAATGGTCACATTTTATTTTGGTTGTGTTTGTCAATGTTTATTTCATGACCGCTGCAGGGTGAGAACAATGCTGCCTGCTAATTCTGCGGTATGAGGGATATGAATTCCTTAATATATTTAGCAAGCACATTTGCAGTAAATTATTCAAATATTCCATATCTCACTTAAAGGTGTCTGGATCTGGAGGTGTATGGTTTAAAATTGCCATAGATCCATAATAATCTACAGAAAACATGTTCGAACAATAATGAACCCTAGGAAGTATGTATAGAATTTCAAAATTAGTTCGTACATGGCTTAATAAAATCATCAGGACAAATGGGACCTTTGACAGTGGTCCAGCAGCTGCTGGTTTCCTGCCTTAGTTGAGGCCACAAAAGATAGTGGCTCTTGAGTAAATATAATACATTCTCCTGAAATTACTAATGGTCAGAATTCTGGCAAATGCATCTCTGGTAAATATTATAAAATGAAAGACCTTGCTGAAGGCCATAACTGTGGTTCCAATGTGAAGTCTATGATTAAGCACAAGATGAAGTTGCAAGACGGTTCAAAGGTTTACCACCAGACAAGTCCCAGAAATACAAGATATTAGTTACAAGGAAAGGCTACATAAATTGAACCTCACATTGCTGGAAGACAAGAGTTAGGAGATACTTTTACATTATTACTCGCATACAAAATTCTCATGGGAATTGATAGGGTTGATAAAGACAGACTATATAGAACATAAAACACTGTATAATTTGGATAAGTTTAGATTTAGGAAAGACCTGGGGTAAATACTGGTTTGGTAACGGGGTTGTTGATTTGTGGAATCAATTACCGCATAACATATTAAAAGTAGGATCCCTTGATTGTTTCAAGCATAGGTTAGACATATATAAATTAGACTGGGTGGATATAAATAGGTTCCTCGAATGGGCCAATAAGCCTTCTGCTGTTACCTTCATTCTTCTGTTTTTATTTATCATGGGTGATATCTTTACAAAGGGACCCATGAAATTGCCTACCTGTTAAAAGTCAACATTACAAATTACAACAAGAATTCTAAAGTTTGAAAATTACTGGAAAAATGTTTTTGGGAATAATGGCGCACCATTGATGTGCTATTTACTTCTTGTCCCCTTCGAGGTTACAAAATATGGTGGCCCTCCAGTAAATATTTGTTAATATCTCTTAATGTTTGAAACTAATACCAGTCTTAACCTCAAATACTTTTTACAGTCCTACAACAGAACGTACTGCTATTGATTTAGGGGCTGCGACTACGTACTATATAAGCCCCTTCATTCACAAACCCAAAAAACATGCTGTTTCAATATGGGATACATTCCCCCCTAATAAATTTAAGCCTGTTTGTGTGAAATACACCATGCAGTGAAGCAGAAAATTGTATCAAGTTGCAAAACATCTGGTGACTCCTCCACTTGGTCAAAGTGATAAATTAGCTACATTATTGACAGTTGGTGTTATCAGATTCTGTGTACATCAGACATCCCTACACCTTGGCAGTCAAACAAACTCCTTAGCTTATGGCAGAATTTTTATGTCCATACTTGCCTGACAAAGAAACTAAGCATATTCTGGGTCCTAAGTCCTATGTCCAAAGAGCTTGGAAAAGTTGGAGGGGGGGGGGGGGGAGGAGGAAAAGGGATGCAGAGTTGAAATTCTTGAAGAGGATTTGGATGGGGAACGAGGGGGCTTGAAAGTTCGGTGGCCTATCCATCATGGGTTGGCATAATGTTTTGTTCTTAGCTTGGAGCTTGTTGTTTGTATTGGTTTTGAGTTCTTATTCCACGGCAGGAGGCTAGTGGTGTAGCTGTTGGTTGTTGTCTTGGCTTCGGTGAGATGCTTTGTCTGGCTTGGAGGTGTCTTCCCTATTGAGTTGGTGACCCTTTTTCTATTGACTCTGGTATTTTGGTTTATCTACGGCATAGGTTCTCTTGAATAGTCTGCATACCATTTGTGGCAGCGGGGTTCCTTCCAGGTCATTGATTTCGTCTGAGAAAAGGGTTGTCTCCTATTTACTCTGTATTTCGGGTCGAAGTACTCTTTCTGCAGGACGGAGAGGTCCATGTAGAGTTCCATTGTGTTGGCGTGGGCAAACATTCAGTGAGGGAATTTGTCTGAGTTCTTGTTGGTGATGATCTGGTTGCATTGGAGGGTCAGCTGTCTTCTTGTACTGCAGTTACCCTTGAAGTAGGCTTCCTCTTTGATGAAGAGGCATTTTCTGCCCCCTCCTATTCCCTGGTTTCGGGGTCGATATAGGGAATTTCAATGTCCTCGTCGGCTGGTTCAGTTACTGGTACTGCTGTTGTTGCAGCAGCTTAGTGATTGTGTTTTTTCTTCTTTGTTTTTTACATGTCAGCTGAAGGAGTTGTGGTTGCCACTGGGTGGTAGTCTTGACAGGTCCGAAGTGGTGTGGGTCTGTGCAGTAGCTGGTGCCCGAGTCTTTGGTTCTTCTAGCACTGTCGTTGGTTCCGCTGCCGGAGGTGCAGTTGTTGGTGTGGCTGTCATTGTTGCTGCTGACACCGTTGTTGCTGTTGTTGCCACTACTGCTTTGGATGCCTCTGGTGTTGGAGTCTGTTCTGGTTGAGCAGGGGTAGCTTGTGGAGACTGGAGTAGGTCCACTGTTACTCTCATTGCAAGTATCCTGTTAGCCGAGAGCAGCCAGTTGAGTACCTTCACGTACTTGGTGATATCCGTTTCTGCCAGCTTCTCCGCCAGGTAAATCGGTACAGGGACCAGGGTGGTGGCGGCCGGGGCCACTGATTGGCTGGTGGTCTAGGCCGCTGTTGCTTGTGTGTAGGGCCCCCAAGGGAGGGGGAGGGGGCTGGTCTAGTATGGACATCACTGTAGCAGATGAGTCTGGTAGCGTTGGGAACATCGTGGCCTGGATGTTGAGGCTCGCGGGCTGATTGGTGGTTCATCTGTCAGGTGCCGACTTCTCAATTTCTACAGTTGTGGTGGGGCAGTTCATTGAGAGGGTGGTATGTGGTCCTCTGCAGTTGATGTGCATAACTGGGTAGTCGACTGGCAGTCCTTGTAGTGATGTTCTTCACTGCAGATGCTGCAGTTTTCCTCAAATAGTTCACAGTTCGTGGTGTAGTGGTCGTACTTGTAACACTTATAATACTGACATAGTTGGAGGTAGCGTTCTTTCTTGATGGTGTCCGGGGTGATTGATATGTCGAGGCTCCTGAAGCCGTTTCCACTGTTTGGGTTGCGCTGCAGCTATAGAGAAGGTCACCTTCAGGGTTAGGTTGTCGTAATGGAAGACTTTAATTTTGACTGCGGTCAGAGCTGAGTTCCTGTTGTTGATGCTTGTCTATATGTTGTCTGGTGCTTGGGTGGCAATGAAGACGCTGGTGCGGTTGACAAAGACTTCTTTCTATCAGCCTGGTATCGATGGGTAGGTAGGATGATCAGGTCAGTCTCGTAGGGTGTCCTGGTGTTCTGGGGCAAACAGTTGTTCCAGGGCTTCCTCACTTGAGTAGAGAAGTTCTGCACCAATACCATTGGTGCAGATGTCCATTGGTGCTGGATTGGTGATGTCAACTATTTTTGACAGTATCTGGGGCCGGATGAATGTGGTTTTGCCTCGAAACCGGAATTTAATCCAGAGAATCATGGTCAAGTGAGTACACAAGTACTATGTGAGAGTCGTTTAGTTCAGCCGACACCCCATTACTGGGATGCAATGCTGATGGAAGAACGTTTCTATCTGGATGGTGCTCTAATCACCAATACACATTACTGAAGAAGGCCTTCCATCTCTTCCCAATGGAAGAAATCAGGATGGGAGTGGGGCTGACCTTCTGCAGTAAAGCGTTATGCGAGAGTTTATGCGCCTCGGCGGTGTATGTGTATGCCTGTTCTGAGTAACAATCATGACAACTTATGGTGGCCCTCAACAGAGCAAGACCCAGATGTACATCACCTCTGGAGGCCAAACTACAAGTCCTACCTCAACTTACTGACACTTCATGAGAAACAAGCATAACTTAAATTTTCCAAAGAGTCTGTCAAGTAAAGCAGAAATACCATGCAAATAAAGAAGCTTTGCATAAAAAATACAGACAGTTAGTAGCTTTGCGATAAGGTAAAAGAAATTTGGGTAATCTGTTGTACCTTCTTATTGTTCCTTCTTGTAAACAAATAAAATATTAGATATGCAGTACATTTAATATAAACAAAATAAGTACAGTATTGTACTTATTTCTAATTTTACTGTACTTTACTTATTTTACATTTTCTTAAATATTTATGTATTGCTGTACATAGCATACAGTGTTTATCCATAGTGTTTTCATGCTAAATACAGAATAGTAAGCAAGTTATGTTCACATTTACATTTGGTAATATCCCATTATTACTCTCAAAATACTGTATGAATATAGTAATAATAATTCTCACTTACCAAATCAATGTTCATTGTAAGAATTAAACTTAAATAAATTTAATTCTTTAGTATTAAATCTTAATTGAAAATTCTGTTAAATATTAGCTAGATTTAATGTGTAAACTGTCTTATTAATAAATAAAGTGTAAATAGATTAGTCTTAGTATTAATGCTCTAAAATTGTTTTCTGTATGTAAATGCAGATGCTAGTGCTTTATGATTTGCTTGAAGCAATGTGTATAATTGGGGATCTTGTAGAAAAAAGGAATAATTCTCTCACACCATCATATTTGTGGTGTGAGAGTGGTGAGTGTAGTATTTGTATTTGTATTTGTGAAAGTGAGTTTAAAGTGGATTTACTGATGTGGGGTTACAGGACATTCAAACTACTTTCTTCAGAGGTTTTTGGGCCTGCCTGGGTATTTTGTTTGTGAGCTGGTATCTGTCTAAGGGGGGGGGGTACTGAGTATTAATGTAAATGTCAATATGCAGTGCCAAGGATTTTGTCGTGGGAAAAGGGGTACTATGATTAATAAACTATGAAGTATCACTACTGTTTATACCCTGTATCCAGTCTGGAGAGGGGGGGGGGGCAGTTATATATACTGCAGTTATATTTTTGTTTAACCCTTAGCAGATTAATTTATGGGATTACTTTTCCTTGGGGCTGAGCCTTGACCCACCCCACCTGGAAGGCTTGCAAGATTGCATGTTTGTAAGTAATAAGGCAGCCCTGGAGCACAGAATAGTAGTAGGTTTATATTGAGTATACCACAAGTATCATGCTTCCCCAATTTTTGAAGTAAGGGCGAAGAGGTAGAACGGCCTATTGACATAGCTCGAGTGCATGGGGCAATTGTGTAAAATCCTGGTTTGTGTCTCGGAGAGGGTATAGGATCCAAGTAAATTCAGTAGAATTTCTGGTTGCAATTCTTTTTCATGTTGTAGCTCAGTCAATTAAGGCAGCGTCTGGGATGCTCTTGGATGCAGAGTCGAATCCTCATCACGGCCCTTGTGGATTTGTTCATAGCTTGGGGAGCCACCGGGGCTCCTCCAGAAAGAGGCATTTTATTAAGTTCATTGCTGTGTTTTTTAATGTAGAAAATCTTAAATTTTTATAATTTTTGTAATAACTCATTGCAAAGTTTCTTCTTGCAGAACTGGGACAAAAATGATAGGGAACTTGTACTTCAGAGTTGTGGACAATCTCTCTTAGATCCTCAGCTAACACTCACTGTTGGTGTTCACTTACGTCCATGGCTTCTCGAGCTCCTGGGACGGGCTAGGACTGCATCAGTAAAGACCTTCCAGACAGGAGGAGGAAACACTCTTCATCTTGCCCTCTGTGTTGCTCTTAGCAAGCTTGTCACCATCAGCAATGATGCCATCAGGTAAGTGCAATTTTCTTATAAACAATAGATACTGTATCCTACAGCATAAATGGATCTAATTTTGTCAGAATGCGGCTAGACCGGAATTTTTTTCCATATCAAAATACAGCTGATATTAATAAAGTTTTCGACTGGGCATCAAAAAAGAACATGATGTTTAACAGTGATAAATTCCGGGTACTCAGGTACGGTAAAAATGAGGACTGTAAACATTATACAGAGTACAAAACACAATCAAATGTACCCATAGTAGGAAAACAGCATGTAAAGGATTTGGGAATAATAATGTCTGACGACCTAACGTTTAAGGAGCATAACCAAGCAAATATTGTGACAGCCAGAAAAATGATAGGATGGATTACGAGAACTTTCAAATCCAGGGATCCCATCACAATGGTTGTACTATTCAAGTCACTTGTGTTGTCCCGTCTTGAGTACTGCTCAGTACTCACTTCCCCCTTCAGAGCAGGAGAGATTGCTGAAATAGAGGGAATACAGAGAACATATACGGCACGCATAGACGCAATAAAGCACCTAAATTATTGGGATCGTCTCAAAGTCCTCCAAATGTGCTCAATAGAAAGAAGATGAGAGAGATATCAAATAATATACACCTGGAAGATACTGCAGGGCCAAGTACCAAATCTACACAGTAAAATAACAACGTACTGGAGTGAACAATATGGAAGAAAATGCAGAATAGAACCAGTGAAGAGCAGAGGTGCCATAGGCACAATCAAAGAACACTGTATAAACATCAGAGGTCCGCGGTTGTTCAGCGTCCTCCCAGCGAGCATAAGAAATATTGCCGGAACAACCGTGGACATCTTCAAGAGGAAACTAGATTTATTCCTCCAAAGAGTGCCGGACCAACCGGGCTGTGGTGGGTATGTGGGCCTGCGGGCCGCTCCAAGCAACAGCCTAGTGGACCAAACTCTCACAAGTCAAGCCTGGCCTCGGGCCGGGCTTGGGGAGTAGAAGAACTCCCAGAACCCCATCAACCAGGTATCAATCAGCTGATATTAAAAGCACTGGACATTTCATTGAATTTTTTAACCAAAACACTCAAATAATTTTTTTAATCACAAATACAGTAATTAAAAGTGATTCTGAATTAGGTTGTGTGTAACTAGCAAGTGTAGTTACAGGATGACCCAGCACTTTTCCTGTCTTCCCATCACTTTTCCTGTCTTCCCATCACTTTTCCTGTCTTCCCAGCACTTTTCCTGTCTTCCCAGCACTTTTCCTGTCTTCCCAGCACTTTTCCTGTCTTCCCAGCACTTTTCCTGTCTTCCCAGCACTTTTCCTGTCTTCCCAGCACTTTTCCTGTCTTCCCAGCACTTTTCCTGTCTTCCCAGCACTTTTCCTGTCTTCCCAGCACTTTTCCTGTCTTCCCAGCACTTTTCCTGTCTTCCCAGCACTTTTCCTGTCTTCCCAGCACTTTTCCTGTCTTCCCAGCACTTTTCCTGTCTTCCCAGCACTTTTCCTGTCTTCCCAGCACTTTTCCTGTCTTCCCAGCACTTTTCCTGTCTTCCCAGCACTTTTCCTGTCTTCCCAGCACTTTTCCTGTCTTCCCAGCACTTTTCCTGTCTTCCCAGCACTTTTCCCGTCTTCCCAGCACTTTTCCCGTCTTCCCAGCACTTTTCCTGTCTCCCAGTACTTTTCCTGTCTTCCCAGCACTTTTCCCGTCTTCCCAGCACTCTTCCCGTCTTCCCAGCACTCATTGTCATATAACGCTTTGAAATTACCGAGGGTTTTGGCCTCCACCATCTTAACTTGTTCCAACCATCTACAACTGTTTGCAAAAAGAGAACTTTATAATATTTTATCAGCACCTTTGCTTCCTTAGCTTGAAGCTGCGACCTCTTGTTCGTGAGGTTGCAGGTTTCAGGAATTCCTTTGTCAATGTGTGTGTTCACCTAGTTGTGCTTGCGGGGGTTGAGCTCTGGCTCTTTTGGCCCACCTCTCAACTGTCAATCAATTAATTTTTCCTGGAGAGAGCCCCTTCGGCTCCCCGGAGTTATCCAGGCTGATGTGTAACTATTAGCTTTCTGGCATCAAAGTTCATGGAGTTCTTGCCTACTGGGGACCACGAGCCAGAACCTGGCCCCCCTCAAAGAGGTGCGTGGAGCAATGGCCTATTGAAACCCCCGTGTGGTTGGGAGCATTTTATGTCTGCCATCGACTGGGTCTGGCACCCAGAAAGGTAGGCGCCCCAAAACAAACCCCTATTCTGGTAAAAATATTGCTACCGAAAGCCGAACGAGTGGACAGAACTCCCCATCGTAAATTACCAAGCAACGTGATTCCATCACGTTGCCATGCGCAGTCCTCCTCCCCAGGAGGGGGAAGGGGGAGCCCCAGACCCTCGCACCGACGATTCAACCGACAGTTCTTGGCTGGTGTGATACTGGCTGGTTGGGTGCCTCTGGCTCCAATTTTTGTTTTCAGTTCCTGTGCCTTGTGGCGTTGTCTGTCTTTATAAATGGTGTGTGTGAGCCATGAGTAATATTCTATAGTATTCGGTCTGCATGTGCCTAGGATTTCCTTCTTTAGGTGCCCTGTCAGTACTCTCCTTGGGGCTTGGGGCCACATTTCACAAGTCATCTTGGGGCCTACCTCCTCTGTGTCTTTTACTGCTCAGTACTTGGCTGCCCTTGGAGTCAGCTGGGGGGTTTTTGTTGCCCTTAGGTAGCTTGGGGAAGTTGCCCTAGCCCTCCTACCTCTGGGTAGGAGGTAGTTTTCATCTCTGGTAGGGGTGCAGGGCCCTGCACAGCTAGTTTCACCTATTGTAGCTGCCGGCTTTGTTCTGCCTGGGTACGTTGCCCTCTTGTAGTTTTTTCTTTTATTATTGTTTCCCTGCTTGGGGGGGGGGGGTCTGCCTTTGATTGGTTGCCCCTCTATCTATACTTTTTTTTTTTTTGTTAGACATCTCTGTGGTACCCCCTACTTTGCTCCTGTGAGTGGACACGTCCTGGGGGTTCAGCTTTAGAAGTTTGCTTGGTAGTTTTGGGCGCCGGTTCGCAGTACCCTGCCTGGGCTTTCCTTAGCGTGAGACCAAGGCTACAGGCCCTAGGAAACCCTGACAGCTGGGTGGACAGCGTTTCGGATTCGTAGTCCTGAGGTTCCAGGTTCGATCCCCGGTGGAGACGGAGACAAATGGGCAAAATGTTTCTTTCGCCCTGATGCCCCTGTTTCCTAGCAGTAAATAGGTACCTGGGAGTTAGTCAGCTGGTACGGGCTGCTTCCTGAGGGTGGAGGCCTGGTCGAGGACTGAGCCGCGGGGACACTAAAGCCCTGAAATCATCTCGAGATAACCTCAACATCTCAAGATAACCCCACAGGGGCTCTGTGGTCCAATGGATGTCTTCGCATGTGGAATTTGTCTCCAGTCTATCATCACTTGTATAGGGCGCAGGTGGCTTCGTTGTTGGTGTCCCACCTGCGTGCTTCATCTCTGTGGCAGATGAAGTTCCCTTGCGGTCCTTCCATTTTTTCTATCACTGTGTAGGTGATGGTGTACTTCGGTCTCTGATAGGGTTGTTTTGTCCTTCCTTTTGTGGTTGTTCCAGGACCGTCATCTCATGCTGAATACTGTCGCCTCGTATCGTGAGGCACTAGCGAAGCCGCTCCAGCTTGTGTTCGGTGTTGATGTTACTTCTGCCCCGTTCCGCACACTGTCTCGTGTGTTGTTTCAGCTCCTGCCTGCTCATGCGCCTCCTGAGCCATCCTGGTCTTTGGACCGAGTGCTCTCTTTTCTCTCTCCTCCTCGGTTTGTTGTGGCCCCTTCGGTTCAGGATTGTTTCTCTAATGCTCTTTTTTTCCTGTTGGCATTGCCCTCTGGGGGTCGGGTTAGGGAGCTTCATGCTCTCCTCCGGTGCAGGGGCTTCTGCTCCTTCTGTTCTGGTAGTAGGTTTATTCGATTGCAGCCGTCTCCTTCTTTTCTGGCGAAGAAAGAGACTGCTGCTTTCTGGAGGGGTCCTTGGGTTGTCGATGTTTGGTTGGTCAGGCTGGCGGTGCATCATGTGCTGTGTCGCATTGCTACTCTCCTCCATTTTTGCGCTTTATGTTGGCCCGGTTTCCTTCCTTCCCTGTTCCCTGGTTTGGGTCTCTCAGGTCGTCTGCTAATTATCGGTTATCAAGTCTAGCCAGCCTGCAGTATATCCTCGTTCCCACGACGTTCGTAAGTTTGCTGCTTTGGCTGCTGTCTTTGGCAACATGTCCTAGGTTGACATTCGGGCACGGGGTTTTTGCAGGTCGAACAGGGTCCAGGCCGCATGTTACCTTGTCAATGCCCTTGGATGTGGTAGTGCCTGCGTTACATTGGGTCTGCGGTTGCAGCTAGTTGTCCCAACTTCGAGTTAAGGAGTGAGGACTGACCACCACCTGGGTAAGTCTGTGTGTTTTCTTTGTCTTTGGGTAGTTAACTCCGGGGAGCCAAAGGGGGCTCCCTTCAGAAAATCAGCGTTGAATGTAATGAAATGCCATTTTCTGGGTGAGACGCAGAGGCTCGCTGGCATCCCTCCCTCCCTCCGCTCGGCGGTATTTTTGCGTGTTTTGACATCCCGCCTAGTGTTGCCTGTCGCCGGCGCAAGGGTCTGGGGCTCCCCCTTCCACCTCCCAGGGAGGGGGAGGGGTTGCACAGACAGCGACGCGGCATCGCGATGCTGTCATACTCCTTTGGTAATTTTCGTTGGGGAGTTCTGTCCACTCATTCGTCTTTCAGTAGCAATATTTTATCAGAATAGGGGTTTGTTTTGGGGCGCCTATCATTCTGGGTGCCAGACCCAGTCGATGGTAGACATAGAATGCTCCCAACCACACGGGGGTTTTTAAAGGCCATTCCTCCTCGCACCTCTCTAAAGGAGCCAGGTTCTGGCTCATGGTCCCCGGTAGGCAAGAACTCCATGCACTTTGACTGATGCCAGAAAGCTAATAGTTACATACCAGCTTGGATAGCTCCAAGGAGCCTCTGGGTCTCGCCCAGAAAATGGCTTTTCATTACTTTCAAAGCTGCCCCTCCCCCCTGCCCACCTTCCCAGGAAGCAGCCCATAACAGTTGTCTAACTCCCAGGCCCCTATTTACTGCTAGATAACAGGGGCATCAGGGTGAAAGAAACTGCCCATTTTTTTCCGCACCCACCAAGGATCAAACCCGAAACTTCAGGACTACGAATCCGAAGCACTGTCCACTCAGCTGTCAGCCCTCTGTATCGTGTGTACATGTGTTCGTGCACATGTATGTATGCACACAGAATTTATTTAATTTATTTATACTACATGTGTTGGTCATCAGCCGGGGATTCAAAAGGAGCTCTGACATGAAAGATATGACCCAAAGGCCAGACAGAAAAGGAGGATGCTGGAGCAAGAGTTGTTCTAAAGCTTGCCTTGCCACATCATACTGTAGCCTGAGAGAAGGCCTCAAATATGAGTGTTGGTGTGGGTTCATGTAATTACCAAAGTGTAGTTACAGGATGAGAACTATGTTCAAAGTGTCTGTGTGTGGGTTGGAGGACTGTATATATTTAGTACTGTACAGTATATAAAATTTAGATATATATATTTTTCCAGATTTGTTCTCAAGTATTTTCAAGAAGCACCAGCACCATTTCAAAAGACAGAAGATGACGCATGTGATGAGCCAACACCAAAGAAGCTTAAGAGACAAAAGCAGCAGGTGCATAAAACAACAGACAAAGAATTATTGCAAGCCACTTATGATCTTTTGGTGTATGTTGGGGGAGATTTGATACGCATCTGGAAATGGTCATGTCTGTTATCATATTTACATCATAACTCGGAGGAAGTACAGTGGTAAGTAACATTCCCTGAATTGGTCTTAACTTTTGTGTTATAACCGGAAGTTATTTAAATATTTTTAATGTCTTCTGTTCTAGAATTGCTGAGTCTATTGCATACTTGTATATTTAATATTTTTCCATTTGAAAATGCAGTCAGCACATATAATACTTGCAAAAATTTAAGCAACACCTGGGGTGCAGCTTTCAATAGAATGCAAAGCTAATGAAAATAATTAAGTGGTCTTCCCTCCCCACCTCCCTTCACTAGTGACATTTTCCCCTCACTAGTGACATTTGCTCCCCCTCACTAGTGACATTTGCTCCCCCTCACTAGTGACATTTGCCCCCCCCCCTCACTAGTGACATTTGCCCCCCCCCTCACTAGTGACATTTGCCCCCCCCCTCACTAGTGACATTTGCCCCCCCCCTCACTAGTGACATTTGCCCCCCCCTCACTAGTGACATTTGCCCCCCCCTCACTAGTAACATTTGCCCCCCCCTCACTAGTAACATTTGCCCCCCCTCACTAGTGACATTTGCCCCCCCCTCACTAGTGACATTTGCCCCCCCCCCTCACTAGTGACATTTGCCCCCCCCACTAGTGACATTTGCCCCCCCCCACTAGTGACATTTGCCCCCCCCCCACTAGTGACATTTGCCCCCCCTCCCCACTAGTGACATTTGCCCCCCCCCCACTAGTGACATTTGCCCCCCCATCACTAGTGACATTTGTCCCCCTCACTAGTGACATTTGTCCCCCTCACTAGTGACATTTGCCCCCCCCCCCTCACTAGTGACATTTGCCCCCCCCTCACTAGTGACATTTGCCCCCCTCCCCCCCCAATAGTGACATTTGCCCGTCCCCCACTAGTGACATTTGCCCCCCCCTCACTAGTGACATTTGCCCGTCCCCCACTAGTGACATTTGCCCCCCCTCACTAGTGACATTTGTCCCCCCTCACTAGTGACATTTGACCCCCCTCACTAGTGACATTTGCCCCCCCTCACTAGTGACATTTGCCCCCCCCCCTCACTAGTGACATTTGCCCCCCCCCTCACTAGTGACATTTGCCCACCCTCACTAGTGACATTTTCCCACCCTCACTAGTGATATTTGCCCCCTCACTAGTGACATTTACCCCCCTCACTAGTGATATTTGCCCCCTCACTAGTGACATTTGCCCCTCACTATTCACATTTGCGGTTCATATCCAGGGGGTGTCCAACGTCCTGGTGGACAGCCTGTCCCGTTTCATTCCCCTGTCCACGGAATGGACGGTCGACGATGCCTTGTTCCTTTGGCTCTGCCGACCTTTCGGGTGCCTGGAGGTGGACCTCTTTGCGTCGACGTGATTTAGACGTCTCTCGGTTTATGTGGTGCCCTTCTCCAACTGTGAGGCTGTCGGGGTCGTTTTTTGACTGGACTGATCGAGGTGGGGTTAAATGTATCTCTTCGTCTATCCGAACACTGTCACCTTGTATCGTGCGGTGTCAACAGAGCTGCTTTGGCTTACGTTCGGGGTGGATGTCACTTGCTCCATTCCGCAAGCTTTCTAGGGCGTTGTTTCACCTCCGGCCTGCTCATGCGCTGCATGAGCTGTGCTGGTCGTTGGAACAAGTGCTCTATTTTTTCTCTTCTCCTTGGTTTGTGGTGGCCCCTTCGGCTCAGGACTATTTTTCTAAGGCTCTTTTCTTGTTGGCATTGGCCTCTGGGGAGCCAGGTCAGGGAGCTTCATGCTCTCCTCGGGTGCAGGGGTTTCTGCTCTTTTGGTCCTGATGGTCATTTTGTTCATTTGCAGCAGTCTCCTTCTTTTCTGGCGCAGAATGAGACTGCTGCTTTCCGGAGGGGTCTTGGGTTGTTGATGCTTGATTTGTTCGACCAGGGTGCATCGTGTTTTGTGTCTGGTTGTGGCTCTTCACTGTTACTTGCGTGCGACGGCCTCCGTGGCAGAGGGTGCGCTTTGGTTTGACGTTGACAGGGACGTTTTTCTTCGTCCCTGTTCCAGGGTGTGGATCTTCGAGGTCGTCCGCAGTATTATTCGGTTTGGCCAACCTGTTGTCTATTCCCATGCCCATGACGTTCGTAAGTTTCCGGCTTTGGCTGCTGTTTTTGGTAATATATCCTGGGCTGACATTCATGCACAGAGCTTTGTGAGGTCGAACAGGGTCCTGGCCACTTGGTACCTCATTAATGTTCCAGGCCCTTCTTGGGCATGTGTAGCCTTGGGTCGCAGGTGGCAGCCAGTTGTCTCGACTTCAAGTTGAGGAGCGAGTGGCAGCCGTGTCCCTGGTAAGTCTCTCTTTCCCTTTATCTTTAGATAAGTAGCTCCTGTGACCCGGAGGGGCTCTCCACAGAAAACCAGCCTTGACTGTAATGAACGGCCATTTTCTGGGTGAGACCCGGAAGCTCTCGGGTAACCCTCCCTCCCTCCGGTCGGCGTTTCTTCGCGTTTTGATATTCAGCCTATGAACTGGGGTTGGGTCGTCAGCATGGGAGGTCTGGGACCCCCCCTTCACCCTCTCAGGAAGGGGAGAGTTGCGCAGACAGCTGCGCGCCGGCTGTGATGATGTTATGCTTGTTTGCTTGTTTTCTGATTGGGAAGTTCTGTTTGCTAGTTTGGCTTTCAATTTGCAATGTATAACCAGCTGTAGTTTGTTTTAGGATTCCTACCTTTCTGGGTCCCTGATCTGGTAGAGAGCAGACGCAGACTGCTTCCAACTACATGGGCGTGTCTATTGGCCATTGCGCCCGTGCCTCTCTGAGGGGGCCAGGTTCTGGCTCATCCCCGGTAGGCCTAGAACTCCATCAATTGACTGTTTCCATGGTCTAACATATACACATCAGCCCGATATAGCTCTGGGGAGCTTCCGGGTCTCACCCAGAAAATGGCTTTTCCTTACATTCAATGCTTTTTTTTTTAAATTACCTAAGTTACAGGATGAGAGCTACGCTCATGGTATCCCGTCCTCCCTGTACTCTTTGTCATATAACGCTTTGAAACTACTGACTGTTTTGGCCTCCACCACCTTCTTTTAGCTTGTTCCAACCTTCTACCAATCTTTTGCAAAGGAAAACTTTCTAATTTTTTTTTTTGCACCTTTGTTTCCTTAACTTGTATCTGTGTCCTCTTGTTCTAAAAGTTGCTGGTTTCAGAAATAACTCTTGTCAATTTGGTAGATTTGTTATTATTTTGTAAGTGGTGATCACATCACCTCTTTCTTCTATCTTCTAGTTTTGGCATTTTTAATGCCTCTAGTTTGTCCTCGTAACTCTTATTTTTCAGTTCCGGAAGCCATTTTGTTGCATGCCTTTGTACCTTTTCTAGTTTATTCATGTGCTTCTTGAGATATAAGGCACCATACAACTGCCACATATTCCAGTTTTGGTCTCGTAAAAGTCATGAACAGTTCCTTTATTATTTCAGCATCCATGTAATTAAAAGCAAGTCTGAAGTTGGAAAGAGACGCATATGCTCCTCTCACAATGTTTTGCGTGTTCCTTGGTGACAGTTTATTATCCATAACCACTCCTAGATCTCGTACTTTATTAGGGTACTTTAATTCCTTACCATTTGCCACATATTGCTCTAAGCACTTATTTTATCTAGATTAATTTGAAGGGCATCACAATCGTCTGTGTCTCCTATCTTCCCCAGTATCTTAGCATCATTCGCAAACATGTTTGTATAATCCTGTATTCCTTCTGGTAGATCGTTTATGTAGACTATTTACATTACTAATGCAAGAACTGAACCCCTGTGTGTGTGATAGATACCTTTTCCTGTGAAGCAACACATGATAGCTATTTTAAGTGTTAAAAGTTGTTTCAAGACCAAATTAGTAATTAAAGACATTGCAGTATTGTATGTGAAAAAATGTGCATGAAGTTTGTGTGTGGAAAAGATCCAATACAGTCTAGTCATAAAGTGTGGTAAATTTCTTGAAATTTAAAATGATTTGCTAAATTTGTTTATAATCTGTATCTCATACGTAACATTTTCTTTTTCCATAGGTTGGCTTGCCATTGCATTGCAGTTTTATCCAGAATGAGCGAATCCCAGAGAGAATCACTAATAATAAAATATGTTTCACTGGAGACTCACAGAATATTAACAGTAAAAAATGGCCTCATTCCATGCCAAGTGTTGCCTCCTGTGTTGTGTGATGAAGAGCCAAGTAAGAGCTGTGCAGAGTTTCGACATACTGTCATCGTTAGCGGAGTGACTCTTCCACTGTATGATAGAAGACATCAGGTAATAGGTTAAAAGTTTTACAATATTATTACCTCCAATTATCTACATTTCCCTTTACACGTCTCCAATTGCCATCTGTGATTATCTCCTGTATTCAAATTGTTAAATGTAATTTTATTGAATAAGTTTTCTAAGCTGTTTTCTATGGGGGAGCCCCATTGGCTCCCTGGAGCTATTGGACTGATATGCGATATATTAGTCTGGGGCATCAGTCAATTAGAGTTCATCCTACCGGGGCTCACGAGGGGTTGCATTATGTGTTGTGTCTAGTTACCGGGACCCACAAGGGGTTGCATTATGTGTTGTGCCTAGTTGCGGCTCTTCGCTGTTATCTGCGCACCTCGGCCTCAGTGCCCGGGGACTCACTTTGGGTTCATCCAGTTTCCCTCGTTCCCTGTTCCGGGGCTCTGGTTTTCCAGGTTGTCTGCAGGGTTCTTAAGTCTAGCCAGCCTGCGGTCAATCCTCATGCCCATGATGTTCGTCAGTTTGCTGCTTTCGGTGCAAACGAAACATGTCGTTGAGCAACATGTCACATGTTGCGCCCCAGTATTCAGGCGCCTGACAGCTGGGTAGACAGCATTTCGGATTCGTAGCTCTGAGGTTCCGGGTTCGATCCCCGGTGGAGACGGAGACAAATAGCAAAATGTTTCTTTCACCTTGATGCCCCTGTTACCTAGCAGTAAATAGGTACCTGGGAGTTACACAGCTGCTACGGGCTGCTTCCTGGGGGGTGTGTGTAACAAAAAGGAGGCCTGGTCAAGGACCGGGCCGCAGGTACGCTAAGCCCCGAAATCATCTTGAGATAACCTCAAGAAGGGTGACATTCGGGCATGAAGATTTTAGAGGTCAAACAGGGTCCTTGCCACCTGATACTTGGTCAACATTCCTGGTCTTAGTCGTTCGTGTGTGGTTTTGGGTTGCAGGTTGCGAGTTGTCTCAACTGAGGAGCATGTGGTGGTCGCCTCCTGGGTAAGACCATCTTTTACTTAGCTTTGGTTATATAGCTCCATGGAGCAGACAGGGCTCCCCACAGAAAACCAGCGTTGACTGTAATGAAACACCATTTTCTGGGTGAGCCCCAGAGGCTCCCTGGCACCCTCCCTTCCTACCTCCAGTCGGTGGTTTATTTTGGTTTTGATGCTCAGCCTCTGAACTGGAGGGGTGAGTCAGTAGCCGGGGTGAGGGGGGGGGGTCTGGGGCTGTGTGGACAAGTGGCTCATCAGTGGTGTATGACGTTTGCTTGTTTCCTTGGGTGTTATGGGAGTTCTGCATCTCTGCTCGGTCTTCATATGCAATTTTCTTACCAAGTGGGGTTTGTTTTGTTATGTCTACCTTTCTTAGTGCCTTACCCCGATCGATGGCAGACATGGAATGCCTCCAACCACATGGGGGGTTTCCATAGGCTATGGCTCCCTGTGCCTCTCTGAGGGGGGGCCAAGTTCTGGCTTGTGGTCCTCATTAGGCTAGACTCTAATTGACTGATGCCCCAGACTAATATATATTGCTTAACGCTTATATATATTAACGCTTAACTTCAGTCTGATTACTCCAGTGAGCCTCTGGGGCTTGCTGAGAAAATGGTGTTTCATTATGTTTAACACTGGTATATTCTTTTGCACCATAATGTAGGATTTTTGAGCCGCTTAACCACTGTGATGCGCCGAGTTTATTGTGAAATTCCCCCTATGCGCATGAAATCAAGTATTCCCCCAAAAATCTTTTTTTTATTTGTAAAAGGATAAATTCCCTTCCCTGAACATGTCTGTGTAAAAATATATTCCAAATTCCACTTACTGTGGCTGTGGGGGACGTGGACAAGGTGCGCTCTGATGTCATCAGGGACTGGTCGCCTGTGCAAGAAGCTCCCAGACACGGTCGCACGGGCCACAAGCAATGCGTGTTGCCACAAATATATTTTCAATTATTTGTTCTATGTATTTCCAATGCTGTTTTATTTGCTATTTTTTTTATCGTATATGATGCATATTTGTGTCCTTTACAATATATATGCAGTAGAACGTTCATAATGTTCCATGGAACTGTGATACATGTCACTAATGTGTCCACAATGTTTATTGTCGCAATATTACCAATAAAATTACAATATGTAAAGTTTCACACACTGTTTACACAGTAACACACTGTATTACACACTCAATACTTCGGAAGTCAGTAATAATCAACAAAGTAGTCCATAGTACACAGCGTAACTTCGCTCTCGTTGCACCAGGTACAGATAGATTTTTGCTTACTGTTTCTTCGTTCTGTGTGCTTGCAAATAACGCACTCCCGTACACCCTTGGCCTTAGTACTTGTAGGTGGTATGTAGCCAAGTTTGTAAAGCATAAGGTAGTATTGAAAAGATTATAGAAGATTAATTTGTAAGGTAGTCTTGAAAAGATCGCTTTGTAAGGTCCCACACAGGAAGAGAATCAGCATGCCTCAAAGTGTGTCCGTCAATCTGGAAGAGATTCAGCTATTGTTGAAAATATCTATGTAAAACACCATCATGGAAGCTGCTAACACTGTTCACCTATGCTACTTGTATGAGATGCATCATCACTTAATGCAGAAAACGATTCATCTATGTATCATCTATATAAATTGGAGATAGCATCTGCATCAAGCGCCACCCTTGCCCATGGGTGGGCAAGGGTGGCGCTCAGAGCTATGACTGGATATGCTCGCTGTATCGTCCTCATAGGTACTGTATCACTTGCATCTGACCTTTGTGTTAGGTTTTTACTGCGCCTAGCTTCACCAATATCATGACCCGTTATGTTCTTCAAACAATATGGTTCGAATTTCGCCGACAGCGCGTGATCTTTCAACACCGTGTCGGACAGGTGTTTGGGAGCCAGAGGCGCGTGCGCCACCCATGGTTGCTCACTCAGTACTAACCCAGCCAGCAGCCCTAAGGCATTCTGGGAATTTTTTCCAATATGGCTGCCTTTCACTAGAGGTCCTAAAAGTCCATTTCGTACACAACCAATCGTGCGCACATTTTGAATGGGTACAAAAAAATGAGAGTTTTCTCGGTTGGCGCAGTTTCTCACCGACCAAGTTTTCTCAGTTGGCACAGTCCAGTAGTTAAAGGTTAAAAATTATTAATTTTGTATTCATTGTTTATTATAATTTTGCTTTAGCTTCTCATATGTGTGTGTGTGTGTAATTACCTAAGTGTAGTTACAGGATGAGAGCTACCCTCGTGGTGTCCTGTCTTCCTAGCATTCTTTGTCATATAACGCTTTGAGACTACTGATGGTCTTGGCCTCCACCACCTTCTCAACTAACTTGTTCCAACCGTCTACTACTCTGTTTGCGAAAGTTAATTTTCTTATATTTCTTTGGCATCTGTGTTTAGCTAGTTTAAATCTATGACCTTGTTCTTGAAGTTCCAGGTCTCAGGAAATCTTCCCTATCAATTTTATCAATTCCTGTTACTATTTTGTACGTAGTGATCATATCACCTCTTTTTCTTCTGTCTTCTAGCTTTGGCATATTTAATGCCTCTAACCTCTCCTCGTAGCTCTTGCCCTTCAGTTCTGGGAGCCACTTAGTAGCATGTCTTTGCACCTTTTCCAGTTTGTTGATGTGCTTCTTAAGATATGGGCACCACACAACTGCTGCATATTCTAGCTTTGGCCTAACAAAAGTCGTGAACAATTTCTTTAGTATATCGCCATCCATGTATTTAAAAGCAATTCTGAAGTTAGAAAGCGTGGCATAGGTTCCTCGCACAACGTTCTTTATATGGTCCTCGGGTGATAGTTTTCTATCTAGAACCATCTCTTTCTGTATCAGAATTCTTTAAAGATTTCTCACATAATATATAGGTTGCGTGGGGTCTATGGTCTCCTATTCCACATTCCATAACATGGCATTTATTAACATTAAATTGCAAGAACTGAACTCTGTGGTACTCCACTTGTGACATTTCTCCAGTCCGATACATTGCCTCTGATCACTGCCCTCATTTTTCTATCAGTCGGGAAATTTTTCATCCATGTTAGAAGCTTACCTGTCACCCCTCCAATATTTTCCAGTTTCCAGAACAACCTCTTATGTGGTACTCTGTCGAAAGCCTGTTTTAGGTCCAGATAGATGCAGTCAACCCAACCATCTCTTTCCTGTAAAATCTCTGGCTCGATCATAGAAACTGAGTAAATTTGATACACAGGATCTTCCAGATAGAAAACCATTCTGTCTGTCTGATATAATATCATTTCTCTCCAGGTGTTCTACCCATTTAGTTTTGATTAGTTTTTCCAATACTTTCACTATTACACTAGTCAATGATACAGGTTTATAATTGAGGGGGTCTTCCCTGCTGCCACTTTTGTAGATTGGAACTATGTTAGCCTGTTTCCACACATCTGCTACGACTCCTGTACACAGGGATGCCTGAAAGATCAGGTGAAGTGGAATGCTGAGCTCCGATGCACATTCTCTCAGAACCAATGGTGAAACTCCATCTGGGCCTACTGCTTTATTCTTTCTTAGCTCCTTTAGCATATTTTCCACTTCATCTCTAGACACCTCTATACACTCTATGTTTTGTGGAATTCTTATTGTGTCTGGTTCTCTGAAGATCTCATTTTGTACAAATACACTTTGGAACTTTTCGTTTACTGTTTCACACATTTCCTTTTCATTTTCTGTGTATCTGTCCCCCATTTTTAACCTCTGAATATTATCCTTTACCTGCAGCTTACTTTTAATGAATTTATAGAAAAGGCCTGGATCTGATTTGCATTTGTCTGCTATACCGTTTGTTGTCTGCTATATACTCTATACAGCATATAGACATATGCTATATGTCTGTGTGTGTGTGTGTGAGAGAGAGTGTACACCTACGTACTGTCGTCACTCGACCAAAGTTCACAACAAGTAATTTACATGCAGTAAATTTATACTGATATAGACATTTATATTAATGTCTAATGCACTATAATTTTTTTTTTTACAGATGGAAGGGTGTTTAGTGAATCTTCCCTCCACTGAACGGAACCTTGAAAGCGTAGCTCTGGCATTGTGTCAGGGTCAGCCTGTTTTGGTTGAAGGAGTTGTTGGCAGTGGGAAGACTTCTCTTGTGGAACATTTAGCTTGTGTTACTGGGCGGACTAAAGCTCCCTATCTTATCAAGGTAATGATTTAAATACAAAATTAAAAAGTCCTTTTAATTTTATATTCAAATTTAGTCAAATAAAACAAGTGTTTGGGTAGATGAGATGATCTGGAAAGATCTAAGGAATTAAAAAGTAGAAAGGAGGGAATCAGGATGAAGTAGTGTATATAATATATTTAACTTCATATTTAACCATTGCCCCAACCTTTGAGGATTTTCATGTGAATTTTCACTTTAAACTGTTAAAAAGTTGATGACAGATTTACTCCTTTTTTAATTCAATAATGCTGAGTCTACCAAGATTGTATCAGATTCTTTAGTGCTAAGAAAAGAAACATCAGTATTCTATGTTTACTATCATTAAGGAATTATTTATCTTGTGTCAAGAAAACAATGATGTAACAAATAGGAAGAGCTATTTTTGCAAATTAATCATTTTCACAGTCTGGCTTCTGAGCTCATGCAAGCATGTAAACTGTAAATGCTTGCCTCTGACTTTAAACCTTGCTTCTGACTTCAGACCAACTTTTAAAATATTTATACTCTTTGTTACATTTTCAAAGTTCTTTCTTGCATTTTAACTTTGTCATGTTCAGAAAAGAATTCTCTAGCATTTAGACAAAAAATATTTGTATATTTGGTCTCCCTCTGCAAAGCATGAGAGTGGTGCCAATGAATGGAAGGCAAACCAACAGCCAAATATACTGTATTCCCAAATCTGGCTCCAACGAGGGCCCAACCAGCAGCATGTAAAGCCCCAGCCGTACTAGACAGTTTCCAAGGGCAAGGATGAGATCCCTGAAGTGAAACCTAGATGTGAAATAGGCCAGTATGAAGCTTCTGCCAAAGACAAAAATTAGGCAACAACATCCTCTGGGAAGAGGAGTGACAAAAAGGGGGAAGGGAATAAAAGGCCAAGGACAAAGCCAAATCCAATGACTGGAACAACATAGTTTGTCAATGTGCGAGATGAGCAGACTAGAACATGGCCTCTACCTTCCGGAGCATGGGATCACACAGATTGGGCATAGCTGCTAATGGCACCATGGTGGGCAACAAGGCACCCACGCCTGACCCAGAGCTAAGCGTATCAAGATCCTCATGGAGCCAGTCGGTATAAAGCTCCACGAGAACCAGAAAATGTATGATCGTAACCATCTGTTAGTGAGTTAGCAAGTTATTCATATGAATCTATGTTAGCAAAGGCAACAGGTCATGGAGCTGCATCAACCCTATGTTCTGCAAAAGAGTAGGAGCAGATACTGCCCTTGGGAGCAGACACAGTCATTGATCGCCTCAAAAGAAAAGCTGCCCAAAATCACCTGAAACGGTCAAAACCTCTAGCCAATTGAGCGTGTGGGAACAACAAAATCTGCACTAATCTCGGAGAAAAAAAAAAAAAGTATTGTTTGCTAGCCAGGAAGACTCTGGGACATCATAGCAAATCCAGTATGGTAAGAAAGACCCAAACTCAGAAAAGGCAGGGGTCCATCACAGAGGCAGGCTTTTGGTTACACAGCTGTTTAAAATGATCCGCCCTAACCACCGGAGACCGAGAGGAAGGAAATCTCCAGAAGAATGCATTGAATGCACCATAGGGCATGTGGAGAAGAAAAGGGGAAGCCATATTAAGATAAAAATTGTAATAGGATAAGATAAGGGATAAGAAATCCCTCTCCCAGAAGCAAAAGACCTTCGTCATACAGTCTGAAAGACCAGGCAGGGTCCAAGGGAACACAAGGGCCCTATCCAACTCCACCCAAGCCCTGGAAACCAAAAAAGAAGACTCCAGGACAGAGCCAGAATCAACACCCACTGCCTGTGATAAGAAAGCAGATTCCAACAAAGGCTTCAGAGGAAGGGGGGGTTGGCTAGAAGGAAGAAAACTGCAAAGTCACGACAGGACTAAGTGGCTTAACTCCCTCTATGCCTGAAGTGGAAGGAGCCACCCCCAGAGAAGGCCAAGCCAGATTCTGAGCTAAACCTTGCTCCAACTCCAAAACCCTTGGACATTTTGGAGCTGGAAGCAGTGGGTTTGGGGGGGGGGGTAACAACAGAAGCAGGGCACACCACACCCGAAGGGAAAGGAAGAGGAGGCACAGATGAAAGCAAAATGGAATTCAACAATACTTCCAATTCCAGGTCCCTAAAAGAAAGACAAGCCAGTTCCAGGGCATCCAACCGGGCACAAAGCCAAGTCTGCTGAAGGCAGGTGCAATGAACCAATAAAGTGGTCGCTGCCAGATACACTTGAACTCTATCGGGAGAGTCAGTGAAGAGCCACTTAGGGAGAGCAAGCCCCACAGGATCCCAGGTCGTAGGTGTTACCGACGAAACAGGTAGCATAGCACCGTGAAGACAGAAAGAACGATTGTCTTCCCTTAGCACAGATAATGAACAGCCCTCAAACTTGCATAGGGCAAGAGCGGGTGTGGAGAGAATGTCCATAGGCCACACCGAAATCTACAAGAGAATTACCAGGGCCTGAGAGACTAACCAAGCAGGACACCCATGCACTGCCAGATTTTATTTTATTTTATTTATTATTTATACCAGAGTTCTTACATTCTTGTACAGCCACTAGTACACGTAGTGTTTCGGGTATACGCTCTATTCGCTTTATAAGGTATACCAACACAGCCTAGTCAACATAGCTATGAAGGCTGATCTCGATGTGTCATTTGAACAAGAGCTGGTGTAGCCTGTACTCAATACAAGCCAGTGCTTGCTACACCAACCTGTACTCACTGCACCAGCCTCTACTCGCTACATCAGACTACTTGCTGCACCATACTCTAATCACAGGCGATGCGACAATAACGTGGCTGAAGATATGATGATTATGTGAGAAGGAGCACCAGAAGATGAGGAGACGATGACTTTTCGGTCCGTCCTGGACCATTATCAAGTCGATTGTCTTGATCGACTTGATAATGGACTTCATATCCTCTTCTCACTACACCAGCCTCTACTCACTTTTTACACAGCTCTTTAAAATGATCCGCCATTTCATTACTGCACCCTGTAATCATTGAGGTTCTTGTACTGTTCTCATGTCCTGATATGAGTACAGTACACGAGTTACATTTCTTGATGTGATTTAAACATACTCTTTCTAGGTTAGTAATGAGTCATCATTTCAATTAGTCCTTGGTATTTGACTATGAGGATATGAAGTACATATAATTTCTGCTGCATTTGTGCAGGTACAACTTGGAGATCAGACAGACAGTAAGACTCTCCTCGGCACTTACTGCTGTACACCAACTCCTGGAGAGTTTATCTGGAGACCAGGCTCGCTCACTCAGGTATTTCTTCTGTATATTTGATGTACAGCTTTTTGTTATTATTTCCTTTAAGTGTAGCCTGTTCATCCTTCTTTGGCATGCTCCTAGTCAGGGTTGGCCTTTGGTGATGTGGGGCCCAATTGGGAACAGTTTTGGTGGGGCCCTGCACATTCACAGCCTAGGTTTTTTAAGTGAAATGATTTATTAAAAATATTAATTTTATTATTTTATTTAGAAAACATTGCAAATGTATGTGAATAGCATTGTTGGAAAAACGTTATCTTGTCTGGAGAGAGCCTTCCCGGTAGCTCCATGGTGCTGTCTTATTGAGATTGCTCCATACTAAAAAGTTAAGTCAGTTTCAGAAGTTCGGTATGGCCTTCCAGAGACCAGAGCCAGAATCTGTTCCCCCCTCACAGAGGCACGGGGGGAATGGATAACAACTTGCCACCCCACTGGAAAAAGCCTTCAGAAAATCAGCACAGGCTTAGGCTTTTCTTCTTTGGATACCGAGTAATGCTACTCTTGCACAGTGAGAGTTACTTTATCTAGTTGTGTTCAGGACTTCCCCGCTGAGAGGCCTGGCCACCGGTATAGAGAGCCTCACTTTGGATTAATTACGGATCTTTGATTATTCTGTTTGGGTCCTTGGCTGGGGGCATTCTTTGGTTTTGTTGAGGGTGCACTGGAACTTGTGGGTAGTTAGCAACAAGGAGTCACAAAGAGCTATTCCCAGAAAACCACCATTAATTGTAATGAAATGCAAATTTCTGTGTGAGCCCTGGTGGATCTCTAATCCACTCTACGTTCAGGGTGTATGTCACTTCTGCTCCGTTCTGCAAGCTTTCTCGTGCGTTGTTTCACCTCCGGCCTGCTCATGTGCCGCCTGAGCTGTCCTAGTCATTGAACCTGGTGTTCTCTTTTCTATCTTCTCATCGGTTTGTGGTGGCTCCTTCAGTTCAGGATTATTTTTCTAAGGCTCTTTTTCTTGTTGGCATTGGCCTCTGGGGGGTTGGGAAGCTTCATGCTCTCCTCCAGCGCAGGGGTTTCTGCTCCTTCGGTTCTGGTGGTTGGTTTGTTCATTTCCAGCCGTCTCCTTCTTTTCTGGCGAAGAAGGAGACTGCTGCTTTCCGTAGGCGTTCTTGGTCTATTGATGCTTGGTTGGTCAGACCGGGGGTGCATCATGTCTTGTCCAGTTGCGGCTCTTCGGCGTTACCTGCGCTCTTCTGCTTCTATGGCCAGGGATGTGCTTTGGGTTGATCTGGTTTATCGTGCCCATGACATCTGGAAGATTCGGGCAAGCGGATTTTGGAGGTCAAACAGGGTCCTGGTCGCCCAGTATTTGATTAACTTTCCTGCTCCTGGGCATTCTTGTGTTACTTTAGGTTGCAGCCAGTTGTCATGGCTTCGCGTTGAGGAGTGTGTGGCGGCCAGCTCCTTGGTAAGTCCCTCTTTTCCATATCTTTAGTTATATAGCTCCAGGGAGCTGAATGGGTTTTCCACAGAGAACCAGCGTTGAATGTAATGAAACGCCATTTTCTGGGTGAGCCCCAGAGGCTCCCTAAGAACCCTCCCTCCCTCCCATCTGGTCGCCGTTTTTTGTGGTTGATCCTTAGCCTTCGAACTGGAATGGCTGGGGGTGCGGGGGGGGGGGGGGTCCAGGGCTCTGCTGCGCAGATGAGCGATGCGGTGATGCAGTGTAACGTTTGCTTGTTTCCTTGGGATTGGTAGGGAGTTCTGCCCCTCTGTTCGGTTTTCAGTTACAATTTTATTACCATGTGGGGTCTTGTTTTGTTATGCCTACCTTTCTAGGTGCCTAACCCCAGTCGATGGCAAATAAGGAAAACCCCCAGGGTTTTCCAGGGCCATTACTTCCTGCGTCTCTCTGAGGGGGGTCTAATGATTCGCATATTAACCCGATAGCTCCAAGAAGCCTCAAGTTCAAGTATGTTTATTGAGACAAGAAGGAAATACATCACAAATGGATGGAGTAGCTTAGGCTATTTCTACCCCACTGCAAGAAGCCTCTGGGGCTCATCTAGAAAATGGCGTTTCATTACATTCAACGCTGGTTTTTGTACATTCATCGTATAGTTCACAGAATTTGGCATACATCTCATTTATTTACTTGCCTAGCAACAAGTCTTTGCAATTAAATTCATTAAAGAATTTTCTATGTTTCCATAGTGTCTCTGTCTTAAAATCAAATTTATCAACTATTTAAATTTTGCCATTCTGTTCTAGATTATATCAGATAGAATGAATGTAACTACCTAAGTGTAGTTACAGGATGAGAGCTACGCGCTCTGGTGTCCCGTTTTCCCAGTACTCTGTCTATAATGTTTGAAACTACTGACAGTTTTGGCCCAACCACCTTCTCACTTGTTCCAACTGTCTACCACTCTGTTTGCAAACAAAAACTTTCTAATATTCTTTCAACACCAGTGTCCTCTTATTCTTGATGTTGCTGTTTTCAGGAATTCCTCTGTCAATTTGTTTGAATCATCTTATTATTTTGTAAGCGGGGATCATATCACCTCTTTTTCTTCTACTAGCTTCTACTGCTCTTCTAGCCTCTCCTTGTAACTCTTGTTTTTAATTTCCAGAGGCCGTTTTGTAGCATGCCTTTGCACCTTTTCCAGTTTATTGATGTGTGTGTGTGTGTTTCAATACATTCATTACTTGATTAATATATGTAAAGTATTATACTGTATCAAAAATTTTTAAAGATTTTTTTAAGATAGTTTTTATAAGACGTTTGAACTTACTTATGCAGATGTGGACATTTTATTTCAGGCAGTAACTAATGGATACTGGCTTTTGCTTGAAGACCTAGATTATGCACCAATGGATGTTATTTCCATTTTGGTGCCACTACTAGAATCACGAACTTTACCTCTTCCAGGTGAGTAATCTTATTTAACTTTGAAAAATATATACTGTAGTTTATCAGGATAATCTTCTTTTTAGATGTTTTGTAGGAGTTGCACCACTGATTCCTAGTGTCAATAATCAAGCAATAATCAAGCCATACTTAAGGTAATTACACACAGGGCCTTTGAGGCTCGCCCTTGCCTGACAGCTGAATGGACAGTGCTTCGGATTTGTAGTCCTGAGGTTCTGGGCTCAATTCCCTGTGGAGGCAGAAACAAATGGGCTGAGCAGACTAGGAGTCACAATAATGTGACTGAAATATGTTGACCAAACCACACACTAGAAAGTAAAGGGACGACGACGTTTCGGTCCGTCGTGGACCATTCTCATGTGGATTGTGATGAGGGAAGGAGGCGAAGACAATAAATAGGCAAGAGAGAGATGAGAAGAAAATCTTAGAGGCAGAAAAAGCAAGGCAAAAAGTACAAAAGGTAAGGTGTAATAAAGTGGATAGTAATAGGAATTAAGAAAGGGATCGTAAGAGAAAACAAGAGAATGAAAGAGAAAGAAAGATAGATAAATGGAAAGGTAAGCTTATGTTAGGTCATGTTTGTTAGAAAGCTTAGAGCATTTGAGTATATACTGTGAAAGGGAAGAGTCAACAGCAACAAAGCCAGGACTCTAGTTCATGTTGGGTATGTTGTGTATTAGAGCCGATTCAACAAGACGGCGTCTGTGTAGAGTAGAGGCAGGAAAGATGATTAGAATCCTTTACATGACAGAAGAGAGGATGACAGACTTAAAGAACACAAGAGAAGTGTCAAGTCTGCAAACACAAACAATGCTCTCTTCTGTCATGTTAGGGATTTCTGCCTCTAAGATTTTCTTCTCCACACCTCTCTCTTGCCTCTTTATTGCCTTCGCCTCCTTCCCTCATCACAATTGCCTTGAAAATGGTCCAGGACGGACCAAAACGTCGTCGTCCCTTTACTTTCTAGTGTTTGGTTTGGTCAACAATTGGGCAGAGTTTCTTTTTCCCTAATGCCCCTGCTACCTAGCAGTAAATAGGCACCTGGGAGTTAGACAGCTGCTACGAGCTGCTTCCTGGGGATGTGTAACAAAAAGGAGTCCTGGTCGAGTACTGGGCGGTGGGAACTATCATCTCAAGATAACCTCCTGGGAGCAAGGATCAAAATTTGGCTCTATAAAGTGAGGATAGCTTGGGTATCATTTAGTATGTAAATATTGCCAGAAACCAAAATAATACCAACACAAGCAACTGCTTGAAGAAAATTAGGTACCTAAAAGAAACGAGGCAACAATCATTGCCATCACACAATGTTGCACTCGCCTTCACCAGGTGGCTGCCCATGTCATCCAGAGTCCATGACTGCCCTTATTTATCTTCATTCATATGCTGGCTCAGCAAATCTCCCTAACCCATTGGCAAGAAGAGAATAGGTCCCAATATGAAAAGGACATCACATTAGATTCATCACTTGAATTTTGAGAAGGGTTCCCACAATAGCACCTTTTAGCCATCTCACAATGTCACTTCACCAGAGGTGGCCAGCATTTCAGAAAGGATACAAATTGATTGAAAAAAGAAAAGGCTAGAACTCAATCTGAGTGTATTTAGTTTTCATAGCCAAAAACTAAATTTTTTATTTGTGCGAATTTTCCAGTTTCTTTGCCAAGAAAAACAAGAATTTATACAATTTAATAATTTAAATAAAAAATCAGTGTAGCAAAATGTGTCTCTTTTGTGTGAGCCCGTGTGGCTTCCTGAAGTTATCTCAAATTAGATGGTTCCTAACTACTGGGTCATATCAAATATAGTTGTGCTTGGCCTGCTGTTGGGACCAGAATCAAAATCTGAGGCCTGGGTTAGTGGAACTTTTCTTTCTTATTACCTTCTTGGTAGGTATGTTGTGATTAATCTCTGTGATGCGCAAAGTTTATTGTGACATTCCCCCTGTGTGCATAAAATCAAGTGTTTACAAAAATTTTGTTGATCTTTGTAAAATGAAAAATTCCCTTCCCTGAACACGTACATGTAAAAAAATCTAAAACATTCCACTTACTTTGGCTGTGGGGGATGTGGAGAAGGGGGCGTCACAGTCTGGCCGCCCGTGCGTGAAGCTCCCAGAGGCGGTTGCGCGCTATTCAAGCACCGCGAATTGACAGAAATATATTTTCAATTATTTGGGTTATGCATTTCCAATGCATTTTTTTTTTATCGTATATGATGCATATTTGTGTCTTTTACAATATGTGTACTGTAGAATGTTCATAATATTCCATGGAACTGTGATGCATGTGTCGGTAATGTGTCCACAATAAATGTTTAGTCGCAATATTACTTGTTAAAATTTCACTAAAATTACAATATGTACAGTTTCAGACATTATTTACACTGTATAACACACTCGGTACTTTGGAAGTGAGTGATAAACAATGAAGTAGTCCATGGTTGTGGGAAATTTTCCAACAAAGTTTATTATAATTATTGATTAATTAAAAGGACTGTATAAATAAATTATGAGTGGACTGTATGAGTTTTAATGATTAGTTGGATGTTTCCACTTCCACAAAATTCTGGGGGGGGGTAGATTTAATAATGCTAGATCTATCTAAGGAATTTTATGTTTGAATAATTTCCATGATAAATTTTTATAGGTAAATAATGGTTTTGGAATTAGAAAACTAACTACAATATTATAACTAAAGGTTTATAAGCTTAGCTTTAAGGCAGGTAATTAAAAGTGCGTTTGACAGTCTCCCGAAATCAGTCAATTTCCAGACGCAACGTGACGCTAGACGCTCCATGTGTTGTTTGTCGTGTCCCTTTCATTCCCGTTTTACTACTTGCCTTCTTCGTTCATCTTTCTTCTATGCTCTTGTTTCTGGCCGTTGGTGCTGGGGGTTTTCTTCTGGTCTTTTCTTGTGTTTTTCCATTTTCTCATTTTATCCTACACATGGTTGTGTGTTTTGTTTGTGCCTTTTGGCTCTCCTATTGCCAGGTTTAGGTTCCTGGTTTCCTGGCTTACTGGGCCTGTGGCATTTTTACGGCCTCATGGTTTCCCTTCTCTAGAATCGCGTGTTGGGATTGTCATCTCCTGGCGGGATCGTGGGCGTTGGTATGTTTTTCTGTACGGCAGACATTCCATTTCCTCCTTTGCCGGCTTGGGTTTCTAATTCTGCTGGCTCCGTGGTCGCACCCGAGATCTTCCTGCGGCTTCGCCTCTTCCTAGGTTCGATTGGCACATGGCGGGGCCGGTTCGGTTCTGCCTCGAGTCTTTCACGTCCTGTTGGTGGTCGGGTGGCTTCGTTGATGGTGTCCCACCTGCATGCTTCTTCTTGGCGGCAGTGTGGGGTTTTTGGCGGTCCTTCCTTTTCCTTCTCTCCCTTCTTCAGTAGCTGCGTTTGTTGGCGTGGTCTTGTCTTGTGGAGGTTTGGGGCTGTCATCTTGCCCCATCCTGTCACCTAGTATTGTGTGGTGCTGGTGGAACCGCTTCAGCTTGCTTTCGGTACTGGTGTTTCTTCTGCACCATTTCGCGAGCTGTCTTGTGCATTGTTTCACCTCCGGCCTGCTCTTGCACCGTCTGAGCCGTCCTGGTCATTGGACGGAGTGCTCTTTCTTCTCCTCGGTTTGTTGTGGCCCCTTTGGTTCAGGATTGTTCTCCAAGACTCCTTTTCTGTTGGCATTGGCCTCTGGGGGTCGGGTTGGGGACCTTCATGCTTTCCTCCGTCGCAGGGGTTTCTGCTCTTTCTGTCTTCGTGTTGGTTTTGTTCGTCTGCAGCCTATTCCTTCTTTTCTGGCGAAGAATGAGACTGCTACTTTCCTGAGGGGTCCTTGAGTTGTTAATGCTTGGTTGATTGGGCCAGGGGTGCATCATGATTTGTGTCTGGTGGCGGCTCTTCGTCGTTTTTGGCTCTTTTGGCGGCTCTTCTTCGCGCTTAAGGTTGATTCGGTTTCCCTTCTTCACTGTTCTCGGGTGCGAGTTTCCCAGTTTCGCAGAGTTCTTCAGGCTGGCTAGCCTGCGGTCTATCCGCGTGCCCATGACGTTCGTAAGCTCCCCGCTCTTACTGCCGTCCTTGGCACCATGTCCTGGGCTGACTTTCGGGCACGGGGCTTTTGGCGGTCGAACAGAACAGGCTGCTCGTTACCTCGAGCATGTCCCGGGGCCTCGTTGGGCCTGTGTCATTTTGGGTCGGCGGTTGCAGCCAGTTGTCTCGACTTTGCGTTGTGGAGTGAGCAACAACCGCCTCCCGGGTAAGTCCCTGAGTTTTTCCTCTGTGGGTAGTTAGCTCCGGGGAGCCAAAGGGGCTCCCCCCAGAAAACCAGCGTTGAATGTAATGAAACTGCATTTTCTGGGTGAGACCTGGAGGCTCTCCGGTATCCCTTCCCCCCCCCCCACCTCTGTCGGTGTTTTTTTTTCCTGTGTTTTGATATCTAGCCTCAGAATTGACGGTTGGATAGCTGATGTGAGGGGTCTGGGGCTTTCCCTTCCCCCTCCCGGGGAAGGGGAAATTGGCCAAACAGCGGCGCGGTGACGTGTGGCGTCATGATCGTTTGTTTGTTTCTTTGGGGGGAGTTCTATCCACTTGTTGAGTTTTTGGTAGCAATAATTTCTCCAGAATAGTTTTTTTTTGGGGGGGGGATGCTTACCTTTCTGGGTGCCTATCCTGGTCGGTGGCAGACATAGAATGCTTCCAACCACACAGGGGTTTCTATAGGCTATTGCTCCCCATGCCTCTCTGAGGGGGCCAGGTTCTGGCTCGTGGTCCCCGGTAGACCCACAGAACTCCATGCACATGACTGATGTCAAAGTCTGACATCAGCATATCAGCCTAGTAAGCTCCGAGCATCTCCTGGTTTTCACCCAGAAAATGGCGTTTCATTACATTCAACGCTGGTTTTTTTATGTATCATCTTAGTGTACATCTCTTCTGTGGCTTTAAATTGCCAGGAAGTTGATGGTGGACATGTTTTGTTTGAGAGTGCAACTTTGAATAGATAACTCAACAGGCAACCTAGTCTCAGGACTGTATTATTGGAAAGATTCTGAAGGTTAAATTTCCCCTCCTCCTCTGTGTAACATCTTTATTTTGTGTATGCAGTGACAACAGTAAGAGTTGTTAAGTGTGTCTTGTGAAGCCCTTGCAGCCTATGATTGGAGACAAGACTGGCTGACTTTTAATTTGGAGAATTTGTCTGTTGCCTCTAAATTTTATAATTGTTTCCCATAGGTCATGGAAATATTCGGGCCCATCCAGACTTTCAGCTGTTTGCCACCCGTCGTACTCTGGGAGGAACTAAGATGGTTAGTGGGTGTGCTGGCCTCCTAGATAAATTATGGACCACAGTGACTCTAGAAACCCTAACATGTTCAGAATTGCTGCAGCTTATTACTACCAGGTAGGCACTTGATATTTTGTTCTTGTGTATGCATGTCCCTGTACGTTAGATGAATCAAGATCTATTTACCCTGCATGTTAGGTAATCAGTAGTGAGCACTAGCTGATTCAAGGGATAAAATAATAAAAAAAATTTCAGAACTCTTGAGTATTTAATAGAATAGATCATTTCATGAAAGTAGTAACAAAGTAATGGTTACAGTAAATATTTTGTACATAGCCTAATAGAAGATAAATTTGTATGCAATGAATGCTAAGGGAACTATATGATAACCATAACTATTATAGGTTTTAGATGTATATTTCTCCTGTAATAAATTGTATATTTAGATGTATATTTCTCCTGTATATTTCATGTAAAATGCTGTTACAGTACTCTGGTGGATGCATTAGCACTAAGAACAGGTGGGCTTTTAACAAACCTAATTAGTCCAAAAGTTTTCTAAAGATGAGTATGTTCTATATTTGTGACTAGAAACTCTGGTACCACAAATTTTTCAGATTATTCCTTGCCTGTGAGACTTGTGCAATGAATGAATGATGAATGATAGAGATTAAGCCACCCAAGAGGTGGCACGGGCATGAATAGCCCGTAAGTGGTGGCCCTAATATCAGTCCACTAGCTCCAGAGAACCACCGGGGCTCTACCCAGAAAATGGCATTTCATTACATTCATCGCTGTTTTTTTTTTCCTCCAAGAAACTCCAAGGAGTATTTTTGCTGGATATTTCCTTAGTGAGGGTTTAGGAGGGGAAGGCCAGGTTCTGGCTCTAGTCTACAGTAGGTCATCAATCAAAGATTCCCGAGGGTGATGTGATACGTGTGTGAGGAACTATTTTAGTGCAGCTAGCTTCATGGAGACTTCGAGGCTCAACCAGAAAGAGGCATTTCATTTCATTTAATGCTTATTTTCTTACATTGTTTTGGCTCAAAGATAAATTGATATGGAGCTTTATCAACAGTGAAGGAAAGCAAAACACTTGCTTCCATCGTCATACCCCAACTATACCACTCTACCTCCTTTCTCCTATATACCCGCACCAAAAACTAATTAAACCTCAACAACCACTCCACCGCCACCTCTTCTGCCTCTTCTGATACCATACTTTTCGTAATTATTTCAGATGGCCAAAACTGGAATCCATATCAGAGAAGCTGGTTGCTGTATATTTGATGTTGTCAGCAGGGCAGCACAGTGATGACAGTGATGGTTGCAAGCAAGTTGACATTGTGGATATGACTTCCATCAAGGTTTCTGGACGTTTGGTGTCAACCCGTGACTTGATGAAATGGTGTTCAAGAGTTTCTTCTCATATTGACGATACCGACATTCCATTGTCTAATAGAGCATTTCAGGTAGGTTATATGTTCTGTTATTAAAGGGTGGAACTAAATTTGAATGCAAAGTTCTCTAAATATGACTAAATCACCTCAATAGTGTGTGCTTTTTCAATATGGAAAATGTTCATCAAATATTTATTCCCATTATTGCACATTTTTATATTTAATTCATTTTTTCTGTGGGGTAACCCCTTCGGTTCCCTGAAGCTATCCAAACTCACAAATGCCATATTAGTATGGTGTCATCAGTCCCGGGAGTTCTATGCCTACTTGGGACCATGAGCCAAAACCTGGTCTCCTCACAGAGGTGCTGGGAGTAATGACCATATGAGCACTACATTTACAGTATGTCATGTGTCATCGACTGGGGAGGGCTCTCAACTGCTGGTTGTGTTTACATTTGGCTGCTGAGTGCTTGCGTTCACTTTCCGGGGTGTTTTTCAATTAGTTCCTGCGCGCTTGTTCTTATTGGTGACTGTTATTTCCTTTGGTGTGACATATCTCTGGTTTGGATTATGTTTGCTTTGTTAAGGGTGAGGTGTGTGGATTGCTGTGTTTTCCTGCCTCCCTGCTGTGGTGTCGTTGGTTGTTTTGGTAGGTTTGTCCTTACCTCGCTGTGCTCCTCTTCCCCACGTCCCAAGGGTTCAGCTTTTAGAAGTTTGTTTGGTTGACTTGGGTGCCAGTTTGCAGTACCCTGCCTGGGCTTCCCTTGGAGTACCCTGCAGGAAGAAGGCTAAGGGTCCTGGGAAACCCCGCGGGGGCTCCATGGTTCGATGGATGTGACCCTTGGGTCCCCTCTCACTTCGTGCGAGATTGAAGGTTACTCTGTCCCCTTGTCTCAGGGGGACACTCACCAGTTGTGCCTTTGCCATGCTGCTGTGGGTAAGGCCCAGTTAGCCTGCGCCCTACCCACAGCCTGCTTTCGGTTTGACTGTGGGTAGGGCACCCAGTGGGTTTGGACATTATATGTATATACTCTTGTAGGGAATTTTATTGCGAACACATTGATGCCAAAATGAAAGACCTAGGACAAGAATTGAAGTAACAAGGCTGAAAAGAGTATAGACATTTTATTGCTCTTGAGTGCGCACAGGAGTAACGTGCTGTCACTTTGTTTGCTGTGGGTGGTTCACTGGGCTTTTGGACTTTATATGCATATACTCATGTAGGAAATTCTGTTGCAAACACAATGATACCAATATGAAAGACCTAGGATAAGAATTGAGGTGACCAAAGTAAAAAGAATGTACACATTTACACTTGTACATACACTTGTGCACTCCTGAGTAACATGCTCTCACTTCCTCTGTTTGTTGCAGATGGTACACGTACATCTCTATGTACTCTTATGTTGTCTGGAATTGGCACTGTCTGGTTCTCTGAAAATGCTATTTTCACAAACACTTTGGAACTGTTCATTTTGTGTCACATTTCTTTTCATTCTCTGTGAATCTCTTCCCCACTTTCAATGTCAGGATTTTATGCTTTACGTGCAGCTTGCTTTTCAATAAATTTAGAGAAAAGGCCTGGTTCTGTTTTACATTTATTCACTACTCCTTTCTCAAAGTTTCTCTGCATGTCTTCTCACTGCCATGTAGTTGTTACTTGCTTGTTTGCATTCTTGGTATGTTTGAGGGTTAGGTATTGAACCCATTTTTGTTCTCCAACCCTCACAATTGCAGTTTTGGTCTGAAAAGTCAGAAACAATTTCTTTTATTATTTCACCATGTGTAGAAAGCCATAAATATTTCCTGTATCAAGCAGCTATACTAATTACTGTATTTTTTGTATCTTTTCAGGAAGCTCTTGATTGCTTTTGTGCAGCAGTACCAAATCCATCAACACGCTTTACATTTGCAGTGCACATTGGTTCAGTCATGAACCGCACAAAAGCAGAGGTTGAATATTATTGTACGCAATACAAACCAGAGGTGACACAGATGCCTAACAAGTTAATAATAGGCCAGAGAGTAAGGTTTCATAAAAAAGTGATTGATACGTTTTCTCTTGGCAAAAAGGAAAATGTTACTTTTTCATTCACAAGACCTGCAGCATGCTTGCTGGAAAGAATTGGTGTTGCAATAATGAACCAAGAACCAGTGTTGATAGTTGGAGAGACAGGCACAGGAAAGACATCTACTGTTCAGTATCTGGCACACCAAACTAGAAATAAGTTACGTGTTATTAACATGAATCAACAGAGTGATTCAACTGACCTCCTTGGAGGATTCAAACCTGTAGAGATGAAAACCATTGTTGCCCCTGTACGACAAGAGTTTGAAGATCTCTTTGCCGCTACTTTCTCCACTTCTAAAAATAATAAATTTCTCCAGCACATTATGGTGTGTTATGTCAACCAGAGATGGGTTGACCTATTTTCTCTGATGGAGCATACGTTGGAGAAAGCTCTGGAAAAGTTGAGGCAGCCTGTTCAATCAGTTGAACAACGCAAAAAAAATGTTTCATCGGTCATTTTAAATAAATGGCAAAAATTGAGGCTAAAAATATCAACAGTTAAGGACCAAGCACAACATGCCCAGAGTGCCCTTGCCTTCTCCTTCATTGAAGGCATTCTAATCAAGGCTATTCAAGATGGTTAGTATTTCAGTGACATGTTTTTCATTGTTGGGCATAGGTGTACAATGGTAGATTGGCTGGACCTTTTAATCTCAACTAACCAAACTAGTCCTTATGCAACCTTAATCTTAGCTTAACCTTCCTAATGGCTAACATAAATCATTCAAAATGTCCAGAAAACTCTGGCCAGTTTTGAATGGTTTTCAATATTAGGAGGCTTATCGAGACTCTCCTAGCCCAATGATTGATCATTACTAGGATGCAACCCAGAACAGTTTCCCAACTCCTGGGTATCTATCTCCTACTAGGTGACCAGAGGCTTCAGGCGAGATGAACACACCCAAATGTCGCTTCTACAAAGTGGAATTGAATCCTGGATATTTCAGTTGTGGACAGACTACTTTTATCACTGCACTACAGGATAACTTGTCCTGTTTATCTACCAGCTAGTTAGAATAGTTTTGAGATTAGGTTTTTTCCGAGACTTGAAATTCCTCCTTTAGGCAGTAACCCTCTTCCCCAGGGTTGTGAACTTTAGGCTGGGTCAATGCAACTTTCTCATCTTTGATGCAGTAGGGATCTTTTCTAAATATCACTAAATATGGCAGGAAATATCTGGAGGATGGGAGACAGTGAAGCATTATAAATTTATCCCTGAATAATTGACAGTAGGTGTATTCATCTATACTCAAAATCCTCCTTCACATAATTCTTGAAATCAGAGGCCACCAAGTCTAGGCTACATTCAATGATCAAATTTCATATATCCATCTGGTAGCCATCAATTGCCAGGTAGCAGCACTAGTAATATACTCAGAGGAAGTTGGCAGCACTGGTTGTGTATGTAGGGGCTCCTGGTGATCTTTCCTCACTTCCCAGGTGATCCCTAACAAACTCCTGGCACTTCATTTATCCTGAATCTGTCTCCTTTTGTGAATGCTTTCCATATGTGCAATTTTGTCTTTGCATGTTTGTAATCAACCTAGATAGTTTGCTTATTTTTATGTCAATTGGTAGTGGTTTCATCGGGATTCAGTTCCTCTCTCTCAAGTTAATAACATTTTCCCACTCTCGTGGCGCTTAAACAAGTCGGCAATTTTTCTCTTGAGACCGAGAATTTGACTCGTAAACGAGTTGAACAAAAAAATATTTTTATAAAATTGATTTTTTATCCGATCGACTTTGGGATAGTTTCAAAATTAGCGCCTTTAAATTGTGCACAATTTGATACCATAATGGAAGATGTAACATGAAACTTGATGTCAAAATACTTGAAAGATTATAAATACGTTTTTGGGCCAAATTTTAAAATATTTGTTAAAATTCTATTTATTGTTCTAATATTATGGGACTAGTTTTAAAATGCACGCCTTTTGATTGCGAACAATTTGATTCCAAAATGAAAGATATAACATGAACATTTATGTCTTAAATGTATTAACTTAAAATATTTGTTAAAATGCTAGTTATTGCTCTATTATTATGAGACTAGTTTTAAAATACGCACCTTTATACTGCGAACAATTTAATACCAAAATGAAAGACGTAAGACAAAAATTGGTTATCAAACTGAACGAGTATACACATTAGGCCGTGGTGTGCAAATTGGAGCTTGTTCATGGGTAACTTTAGGCTTTGCTGTGGGGAGTCATGCCAGGCTTTTGGACATTATATGCACATACACCTGTAGGGAATTCTATTGCGAACACAATGATACGAAAACGAACGACGTAGCACGAGAATTAAGGTGAGAAAACTGAAACGAGTATACACATTTCGGTGTCACCGTGCGCTCGCCCGCACGCCGGGGGCATGACCTCTAAATTTGTGGAGCGCATGCAGTGCGCATGAAAGTTTTAACCATTTCTCAAATAGATACCGACAATTTTGGACCCGAAGTCCACCACTACTCCTTTGAGCAAGACCCTACTGTATTGTAGTATGAATAGAGAAATGTACATTCTGACTAGAAAGTTAAAACTGCACGTAAATTATGATCATTTTAAAAATACTGGTATATAATTTTTATTGGAATTACTCTGAATATTCTTACAGATAGCAAAATTTCAACTGTGCTTTGGTAGGACCAACCTAAATATAAATATATAAGTAGTGTATGGTATATAGTAATTCAGTAAGTCAAACTTTTCTGTGGTGAGCCCCTTCGGCTTTCCGGAGCTATACCAGGCTAATGTGTAATTACCTAAGTGTAGTTACAGGATGAGAGCTACGCTCATGGTGTCCCGTCTTCCCAGCACTTTGTCATAAAACGCTTTGAAATTACTGACAGTTTTGGCCTCCACCACATTCTCGCCTAACTTGTTCCAGCTGTCTAGCACTGTTTGCAAAAGGGAATTTTCTTATATTTCTCCGGCAGCTTTGTTTCGTTAGTTTAAATCTATGACCTCTTGTTCTTGAAGTTCCGGATTTCTGGAATTCTTCCTTATCAATTTTATCGATTCCTGTTATTATTTTGTACATAGTGATCATATCGCCTCTTTTTCTTCTATCTTCTAGTTTTTGCATGCCTCTAACCTCTCCTCGTAGCTCTTGTCCTTCAGTTCTGGGAACCACTTAGGGGCATGTCTTTGCACCTTTTCCAGTTTATTGATGTGCTTCTTAAGATATGGGCACCATATAACTGCTGCATATTCCAGCTTTGGTCTAACAAAAGTCGTGAACAATGTCTTTAGTATTTCTCCATCCATGTACTTAAAAGCAATTCTGAAGTTAGAAAGTGTAGCATAGGCTCCTCGCACAACATTCTTAATGTGGTCCTCAGGTGACAGTTTTCTATCTAGAACCACCCCTAGATCCCTTTCTTTGTCAGAATTCTTTAAAGATTTCTCACATAATTTATAGGTTGTGTGGAGTCTATGTTCTCCAATTCCACTTGACATATATTCACATTAAATTCCATTTGCCAAGTGGTGCTCCATATACTAACTTTGTCCATGTCTTCTTGAAGGGCATGACAATCATCTAGGTTTCTTATCTTCTCTATTGTCTTAGCATCATCAGCACACATGTTCATATAATTCTGTATGCCATCTGATAGATCATTTATGTAGACAATGAACATTACCGGTGCAAGAACAGAACCCTGTAGTACTCCAATTGTGACATTCCTCCAATCCGATACATTGCCTCTGATTATGGCCCTCATTTTTCTATCGGTTAGGAAATTTTTCATCCATGTTAGAAGTTTACCTGTCACCCCTCCAATATTTCCAGTTTCCAGAACAACCTCTAATGGGAACTCTGTCGAAACCCTTTTTTAGGTCCAGATAGATGCAGTCAACCCAACCATCTCTTTCTTGTAAAATCTGTGGCTCAATCATAAAAACTGAGTAAATTCGTTACACAGGATCTTCCAGATCAAAAACCATACTGTCTGTCTGATATTATATCGTTTTTCTCCAGGTATTCTACCCATTTAGTTTTAATTATTTTTCTGAGGGAACACCATTGGCTCCCCAGAGCTATCAAGGCTGAATGGATATACAGGAGTACTATACTTCGGTTTAAGAGTTTAATCTGTTCCTGGAGATAGCTCGTAATCAAAAAACTTTGTAAACCGAAGTTAATATCTCAATAAGAATTAAGGTGAAATTAATTAATCTGTTCCTGACTACCCAAAACCCTCACTTCAAACTAAGTTTTATACCTAATTCATCAAAATCTACACTACAAAAGTATGTTCAAGTTATTACTTACCCTTGCTGATGACTCTGTTGGCGTATAGAAGATGGTGAGGAGGGGGGTGGGGGCGGAGGAGGAGAGGTATTACTGTTTGGAAGGGGAGTCCCCTTCCATTATAACAACAGGCAGTAAGGATTTTTCTGGAGTGCACACACTGCTACGTTTTGCCTGCCTACCACTAGGAGGTTGTGGTTCACTGCTTGATTTTCACACAATGAAATGATACATTGAAAATTGTTTTTCCTTTCTTTGCAACACTTGTCTGTAGTTTTTTTTTTTTTTCAACAAAACTTTGCAGTTCTCCCATACTTCATACATTTTCTTAATGAAGAAGAGACATCCTCTACTGCCTCTACTCACAACTATTTTCTTAGGTTGAAACTTACCACTGGCTTTCTTGGGACCCATGGCAAGATATATAACTACTACTTTTATGCTCAAATGGCCAAAAATCCAACAAAAAACTGTAAATCCTTGTGAAGAATTCAGGTAGGATAGTCACTGGGCGCAAGGCTCTGGTAAACTGAGGGGCGATCTCCGTGCCACCACACGCTAGTTCGGCCTGTACGCGTATCAACACCTTTGTAATCCGAGGCAACGCTCGTATTCCGATGTAAATTTTCTGAGCAAATCCTGCTCATATCCCGAAAAACTTGTAAACAGGAACGCTCGTAATCGGAGGTACCACTGTATAACTTTCTTGCATCAGTCAAAGTGCTTAGAGTTCTTGCCTACCGTGGACCACGAGCCAGAACCTGGCCCCCCTCAAAAGAGGCACAAGGAGCAATGTCCTATACACACTACACTACACACAGAAATCACAATAGCGTGATGTATCAAATGAATAAATCCACAAGAGCGGTGACGAGGATTCGAACCTGCATCCGAGAGCATCCCAGACGCTGCCTTAATCGACTGAGCTACGACATGATATAAGAATTTGAACTAGAAATTCTACTGAATTTACTTGGATCCTGCAGCCTCTCCGAGAGACAAACCAGGATTTTACACAATTCCCCCATGCACTAGATCTATGTCAATAGGCCATTCTACCTCTTCGCCCTTACTTCATTACACACAGAAATCACAATAGCGTGATGTATTAAATGTACAAATCCACAAGGGCCGTGATGAGGATTCGAACCTGCGTCCGAGAGCATCCCAGACGCTGCCTTAATCGACTGAGCTACGACATGGTATAAGAATTGCAACCAGAAATTCTACTGAATTTACTTGGATCCTGCAGCCTCTCTGAGACACAAACGCCCGGTATATGTGGCACCCTGACTGCAAGGCTGTCGGGGTCGATGCCTTTCGGCAGGACTGGTCAAGGTGGGCTTTCCTGTACCTTGTCCTCCGTTCCAGCTGTTGCTTCGGTCCCTGGCTCATTTGGAGACTTACCAGGGGAGAGTTATACTGGTGGCCAGCCCAACCTTGGTTTCAGGCACTGCTTGCTCAGTGTCTGAACCTGGGGTGTTTTGACCTGAACCCAGCTAGTTGTCTCTACTTCGAGTTGAGGAGCACATGGCAGCCACCTCCCGCCTCGCCTACCACAGAAAACCAGTGTTGAATGTAATGAAACGCTATTTTTCTGGTGAGCACCGAAAGTTCCCTGGCACCCTCCCTCCAGTCTCCCATTTTGTTTTGCTTTAGATGCTGAACCTCCGAACTAGAGTTGTAAGTAGCTGGCGCGGAGGGTCTGGGTCTTCCCTCTTCCCCTCCCTTGGAGGGGAGGGCTGCGTGGACAAGTGGCATGGTGTATGACGTTTGCTTGTTTCTATGAGAGTTGGGGAAGTTCTGCCTTCATGTTCGGTCTAAGCTAATTTTCTTACCAAGTGTGGTTTGTTTTGTTATGCCTACCTTTCTGGGTGTATAGCAGACAAGGAATACGTCCAACCAAAGGGGGGGTTTTCTAGAGGCAATTGCTCCCTTCCCTCTCTGAGGGGGCCAGGTTCTGGCTCATGGTTCCCGGTGGGCTGAACTCCAATCAACTGATGCCACAGACTAATATATCGCATATCAGTCTGATAGCTCCTGGGAGCCCCAGAAAATGGTGTTTTATTATATTCAAAGCTGGTTTTTTAATACTTTTGTCCGACATCACATGAATTTCGGTGCCGTGACACACACACACACAAAGCCTTACATTTTTCTAAAATATGTTCTAGAATAGAATATCCTGGGTCATTTTATCCTTTCTCCAGCCTTAACATTTTATTCTGAGTATTGTTTTATCATTTGAAAAAGATTCAGTTTACAGTATGCAAGGTCAATAAAACTGTTATGGTTAAAACTGTTTAAAACACACATGGTTTACAAGTATGTGGATGAATCTCAAATTGTTATTTTTTCTTTTATAGGAGAATGGGTGCTACTTGATGAAATAAACTTGGCAAATGCAGAGACTTTGGAATGTTTATCAGGGCTTCTGGAGTCTAACTCTGGATCCCTAACACTGCTAGAACGTGGAGATAACAAACCTGTCTCCAGACATCCAGATTTCCGTCTTTTTGCCTGTATGAACCCAGCCACCGATATTGGAAAAAAGGAGTTACCAGCTGGATTGCGGAACAGATTTACAGAGTTCTTCATGGAAGAATTGCAATGCAAACAGGATATCATGATTATAATAAATGACTACTTAGTTAAGGTAAGGAATAAATTTGTAATCCACAACTACTATATAAGCTTGAAGAAATTTTTACTAATAGAGTGTAGTTCTGTTTACTCTTACTTGCATAGACTAATAGAGACTGACCCCTATAGGATATTTCCTTGGATTTGGCATTGGCACATGCTTGACCAATGCAGTTTGGTCAAGCTTAGTGCAGTTTGTCAGGGTGTCTGCTTACCGAGACTTGTTTCTAGTTTCTGGTTTATTCACTTGAGGAAAGGCTTATGGTAAAATTTTCCTGTATTTTCTTTTGAGTCTTTGTATGTTTGTTTTCTTTCTGATCTTTGTTGGCAAGTGCTTGCGAAACTCTTTAAGTTAAGCTAGCTTGATTTTGCATGCGTTTGCAGGATAGGTGGTAACTGTGACTTGAAAAGCATTTGCTTCTCATTTATGTTTTTAATTTGTGCATTGACAAGATTGGTTTTCTCCTATCGCTGCTGGTTCTGTGGAGGATCTTTGTGAGCTGTCTGTACTATGTTCAGTGGGAATAGGTAGTGTACAATTGTAATGAGAAATAAATATATATAAATATATATAAATATATATATATATATATATATATATATATATATATATATATATATATATATATATATATATATATATGTCGTACCTAGTAGCCAGAACGCACTTCTCAGCCTACTATGCAAGGCCCGATTTGCCTAATAAGCCAAGTTTTCCTGAATTAATATATTTTCTCTAATTTTTTTCTTATGAAATGATAAAGCTACCCATTTCATTATGTATGAGTTTAATTTTTTTTTATTGGAGTTAAAATTAACGTAGATATATGACCAAACCTAACCAACCCTACCTAACCTAACCTAACTTATCTTTATAGGTTAGGTTAGGTAGCCGAGAAAGTTAGGTTAGGTTAGGTAGGTTAGGTCGTCGAAAAAACATTAATTCATTAAAACTTGGCTTATTAGGCAAATCGGGCCTTGCATAGTAGGCAGAGAAGTGCGTTCTGGCTACTAGGTACGACACACATATATATATATATATATATATATATATATATATATATATATATATATATATATATATATATATATATATATATATATATATATATATATATATATATATATATATATATATATATATATATATAATATGTCGTACCTAGTAGCCAGAACGCACTTCTCAGCCTACTATGCATGGCCTGATTTGCCTAATAAGCCAAGTTTTCATGAATAAATACATTTTCTCTAATTTTTTCTTATGAAATGATAAAGCTACCCATTTCATTATGTATGAGGTCAATTTTTTTTATTGGAGTTAAAAATAACGTAGATATATGACCGAACCTAACCAACCCTACCTAACCTAACCTAACCTATCTTTATAGGTTAGGTTAGGTTAGGTAGCCGAAAAAGTTAGGTTAGGTTAGGTAGTCGAAAAACAATTAATTCATGAAAACTTGGCTTATTAGGCAAATCGGGCCTTGAATAGTAGGCATAGAAGTGAGTTCTGGCTATTAGGTACGACATATATATATATATATATATATATACCTATATATATATATATATATGTCGTACCTAGTAGCCAGAACGCACTTCTCGGCCTACTATGCAAGGCCCGATTTGCCTAATAAGCCAAGTTTTCATGAATTAATTGTTTTTCGACAACCTAACCTACCTAACCTAACCTAACATTTTCGGCTACCTAACCTAACCTAAGTTATAAAGATAGGTTAGGTTAGGTTAGGTAGGGTTGGTTAGGTTCGGTCATATATCTACGTTAATTTTAACTCCAATAAAAAAAAATTGACCTCATACATAATGAAATGGGCAGCTTTATCATTTCATAAGAAAAAAATTAGAGAAAATATATTAATTCAGGAAAACTTGGCTTATTAGGCAAATCGGGCCTTGCATAGTAGGCTGAGAAGTGCGTTCTGGCTACTAGGTACGACATATATATATATATAGGTATATATATATATATATTATTAAATATGACGAAAAAGTAAGATTAATAATTCTAACACGAATTTTCTCAATCTTTCGTACATTACGCTTCACTGTTGGAGGTAAATAAAAAATCAATCCTCCAAAATTCATTTTTATTTCTAGTCTGACGCGACACGGGCGCGTTTCGTAAAACTTATTACATTTTCAAAGACTTTAGTTCACAAATACACAACTGAATAGAACTTACGTATCTCCGATTTTATATCTACATTTGAGTGAGGTGAAAGGGGTGATGTGGCATTAACACAAGACAGAACAAAATGTGGTATTAATAGGGTATTAATTTCATCAACACAAGACAGAACAAGAGTATTAATAGGGTATTAATTTCATCAACACAAGACAGAACACGAAACAATGGATATTGAATAGAAGTGTTTGTAGAAAGCCTATTGGTCCATATTTCTTGATGCTTCTATATTGGAGCGGAGTCTTGAGGTGGGTAGAATATAATTGTGCAATAATTGGCTGTTGATTACTGGTGTTGACTTCTTGATGTGTAGTGCCTCGCAAACGTCAAGCCGCCTGCTATCGCTGTATCTATCGATGATTTCTGTGTTGTTTACTAGGATTTCTCTGGCGATGGTTTGGTTGTGGGAAGAGATTATATGTTCCTTAATGGAGCCCTGTTGCTTATGCATCGTTAAGTGAAAAAAAGTGAAAAAAAGGAAAGTGAAAAGCCATGCAACCTCTGAAGAGACAACTAACACAACACCTATACCCCCTATTAGACTATTTTACAGGAACTTCTTTTCCACAGCTCATAAAACGGAGGAAAGGGTCCTGAAAGATATTGTTAATAGAAACGTTATCCCTACAGACAAAAATCAGAGGATACAACTGACGATTTACTATAAAACCAGAAAAACGGCCAGCCTACTCATGAGAAACTCTCCAGACACAAAACAGAACGCTTTAAAAGAGACTAACGTCGTCTATGCCTTCAAATGCCCACTTGGGGACTGTAAGCTCCAAAAAACCCAGTATATAGGCAAGACAACAACATCTCTTTCTAGGCGTTTAACGATGCATAAGCAACAGGGCTCCATTAAGGAACATATAATCTCTTCCCACAACCAAACCATCGCCAGAGAAATCCTAGTAAACAACACAGAAATCATCGATAGATACAGCGATAGCAGGCGGCTTGACGTTTGCGAGGCACTACACATCAAGAAGTCAACACCAGCAATCAGCAGCCAATTATTGCACAACTATATTCTACCCACCTCAAGACTCCGCTCCAATATAGAAGCATCAAGAAATATGGACCAATAGGCTTTCTACAAACACTTCTATTCAATATCCATTGCTTCGTGTTCTGTCTTGTGTTGATGAAATTAATACCCTATTAATACTCTTGTTCTGTCTTGTGTTGATGAAATTAATACCTTATTAATACCACATTTTGTTCTGTCTTGTGTTATAAACCAATAGGAATTGTTTCCTATTGGCTTATTTTAAATATTATTATTATATTATATTAAGAACAGAAATTATTGATTTAGTTATGTTAGTTTAAGTTAGGTTAAGATAGGTTAGGTTAGGTAGGGTTGGTTAGGTTCGGTCATATATATTAAGAGAGACATTTTACATATCTTTCAGTAGAACTTGGGAAGAAGCAACAAATTTATGAGAATAGAATGTGCTGTTTAATTTAGACCTCATAATCTATGTATATAGGAGATTTCTAAACAGAAAAACTAATTTCAATTTTCCTATCCATGTTTTATTTCTTCAGTTGGGTCCATCAAGCAAGCAAGTAAGAGGTATTAAGAACTTTTACAAAAAAGTGAAGGAAGAATCAGAATCAAAGCTCACAGATGGTACAGGTCACAAGCCTCACTTTAGTCTACGTACTCTTTGTCGAGCCCTTGCTGTGGCTGCCAGGAACCCCTGTTCCAGCTTTCCAAGGTCACTTTATGAAGCTTTTTGTTTATCGTTCTTGACGCAGTTGGATCGGACATCTTATCCAGCAGTGGTAGCTTTAATCAAGCTCCATGTCTTGAGCATTGATCCACAGGGTAAGGGAAATGGCAAGCTTAACTTCAAACATAAGTTGGACCCAATCCCAGCACCTACCAGTGAAAAGGCTGTGCAAATTGAAGGCTACTGGGTGCCACAAGGTGATCAAGATCCTCAAACCTCAGACAATGTAAGTTTATTCATCTTTTTGTTTATTGTTGAAATACAATATATTCAAACATAAGATAACAGGTATCTGTTTGCAAAAGTAAAAGGAATACACACAACACAACACACTTGGAGTGTGTGGAGGAGTGGAGCAGGGATGCCAGATTGGGCTAAAAGTAGCAAATTGGGCTACTTTTCAGAGCCCTGCGCTCCCAAATTTTTTATTTCGCTACTTGCTACTTTTTGGGCTTCTTTAAAAACAAGTTGGGCTATTAATGTTAAGAAACTCAATGATGATTTTTATGCTTTTTATAATGTCATGTGTACAAATCACAGCCGCGTTCAACAGCTTGATTGAATAGACCAGGTCAGGTCAGAGACCGGCCCCCTGGGGATGTTGATCCTAGGAACTTCCCAAAGAAAAAGTAACCGCAAGGCAAGATAATCCTCCCCAGGAGCTGTAGATTTCCCAACCTTAATTGCCATTAATACTTCATCCCGGGTACTGTCTATGTTAAGTGACCTCCCACTGTTGCCTACTGTAAATATTAGGTGTTTCCAAGAATCAAGTGACTGTCGTTAGAGCGGATTAGCATACAGTGAACTTGGCAGCTTCATCTGTGCTTTCATTGCTAGTGTGGCTGACCTCCAGAAGGATAGTTCGACACAAGTTACTGCATATAGAAAAGAAGTTACCGCTGTTACTTTTAGAATTTGCTTAAGTGTTAAGATAAAGAAGTGTAAAATGGGGAAGTGGTCTAAATATCAGAAAGCGTTTCAGATGTCCTGGCTTAAGGATCCAGTGTTTGGAAAGTGGTTGGCTGAAGTGAAAGATGAAAATAAGGCATATTGTAAAGTTTGTAGAACTGAGATAAGAGCTCATAGAAGTGGTTTAAAGAAACACAGTGAAACATTAAAACACAGACAAAATATATCGGAGGTAAGTCATCAGCAGATGAGCATCAAGTCTGTTCTATCAAAGAAGGAAGATAAACTTACTAAATTTGAATATCGTCTGTCTATATGTACTGTCGCTATCTAGAAATCTAACATTATGTTTGTAACTCATCTTGTATGTATGTACAGTACTTTTACCTGAATAAACATTTGATTTGATTCGATTTGACTAAAACAAAAAATTGGGCAACTCTACTTGCAAATTCGCTACTTTTTTACCGTCAGCTCGCTACTTTTAGCAATTTGGATCTGGCAACCCTGGAGTGGAGTAGAGTGGAGTGGAGCATCACACTGAGGAGTCAATGCTGCAGGCTCCAGGAGAATTCAAATTATCCAAGTGTTGAGAGTAGGGTGGGGGCTACATGTGGTGTTCCAGAATACAAGAAGGTTTAGGGAATTTGAAAAGAAACTAAGAGATAAGACATAAGTGTTAGTGAATGAAAAATCTGTGGTAGAAAAGTTGATCTTTCAAAACAACAGAATGTCAACAAAGATGGCCGCCACCACTGAGGAGGACAGTACCCCATCACAGGAATATTTAGCAGGTTTCTCACAACAAGATGCAATGAAACGTGGTTTTCTGGACAGGTTAGTGATTATTGAGGACATGCTAAAGAAATATGAAGAAATGGTAATTAAATTAGAACAAGAAAATGAAGGTCTCAAGATTGAGTTTTGTAATTTAAAAGGAAGTATTTTCCAGCAAGGTAAGGAAATTACCAGCTTGACTGATAAGGTAAGGATGCAAGAGGAACACATCAAGGAACTGGTAAAGGATAATGAGGCATGGAAAGTGAAGAGTAGGGAATTTGAAGAAATAAACAAGAAAATAGACTCGAATGGTGAACAACTCGAAGGGAGCCGAGGGCTAACATGGAGTTAGGCAAGGAGATGCACCAAGAAACTTCATTGACAACTCAAATAGAGGAGGCTGATAAAGAACTAGAAAAGTATAAAGAAGAAATAAAAAGAGACATATGCGCTAGTTGAGAAAGAGACGATTATGGAAGTGTGCTTAGAAGTCAAAACCAGAAATTACAAACAAGAAGCGGATCTTAGGCAAGCAGTTAGGAAAGAACTGGTTACCAACAGTAAATTAGTATAAAGCACTGCAGATAGAAGTAAGTCCATAATAGTTTTTGGATGTGTAGAGAAGGAAATTTCGTCTAGGGTGGACCGAGCAGCAGAAGAGATGAAAATCATAGAAAAAATAGTAGGATTAGGAGAAGGCCTAAATTTAAATTAACATATCAGTGATTTTAGGAGAATAGGAAAATACGAGAAAGACAAGAACCGCCCGTTAAGGGTGACGTTTAATGGAGTGAAGTATATGATAGAAGTGCTTTAGAATGCCAGAAAATTGCAATGTGACGAAAATGGCAAACTATGGTCAATAAGACAAGGACTCTCAAAGGAGGAAAGAGAAAAGCTGAAAATGAACCTCATTGAAGCGAAACGACTAAATGGGGATAGAAATGAAGAAGATAGAGATTCTTTTTTCTACAAAGTATCAGGGACTGGAAAGCTTGTGAAATGGTACATAAAAACAAAGCAACAAAATCATTAAAGGAAGGGGGTGTAAAGAACAAAGGGAAGGGGAACATGTTCCTGAAAATAGTATATACCAACATAGATGGAGTGAGATCGGAAATATTGGAGTTGAAGGATATAATCAAGCTCAAAGTCCCAGATATTGTCGCATTAACAGAGACGAAACAAAGAAAATATTTTAAATGAAGTCGTATTCCCAAGGGGCTACTCAGTTTGGAGACGTGACAGGAAAACTAGGAAGGGAGGAGGAGCGACTGCTGGTGAAAGAACACCTGAAGGTAAGAGAGTTAATAATTGAAAACCCTCGAGATATTGACATAATGGCATTGCAGATCTGAAATCAAGATGATAAGCTGATAATTTTAAATGCCTACAGCCCACTAGCAAGCAACATGTGAACAAAGGAAGAACTGGATGACAAACGAGAGGGCCTCATAATGGTCATGAGAGAGATTATGGTAAGAGTTTACAAAGATAAATCCCGGTTGTTGGTACCAGGGGACTTCAACTTTAAGGCAATAGACTGGGAGGCCTACGAATCAAGAACAGAGGACATTTGGCCAGGCAGATTTGTAAACCTCATCTTGTATCAACGCATCAAGCAGGCCACAAGAATGAGGGAAGGGGATGTTCCATCAGTACTGGATCTAATATTCACTAGGAAAGAAGAGGAGGTATTTGATATCCAGTACCTTCCTCCCTTGGGAAAGAGTGATCACGTCCTATTGGATATTAAATACACTTTGCGATATAATCTAATAGAGAATGGGGACATTGAAACGGTTGTTAAACTCGATTTCAAGAGAGGATGCTATGGGGAACTTAAAAAAATTTTTCATTGGTATAATTGGACAGACCTGTTGCTAGGTAAGGAAGTAAATTAGATGTATGTCATATTTTGCAAAATATACAATGAAGACACACAAACCTTCATACCAAAACAGAGATGCAGACCTAGGAAACAGGATTGGTTCAACAGAAATTGCAAGAGGGCCAGAGATCAAAAGACACAAGCATGGAATCATTATAGGAAGAGGCCAAACCCTCAAACATACCAGCGATACAAAGATGCGAGAAACAACTACACGTCAGTAAGGAGAGAGGCAGAGAGGAACTTTGAGAATGGTATAGCAGACAAATGTAAATCAGATCCAGGCCTTTTCTGTAAATTCATAAAGGCAAGCTGCAGGTAAAGGATAATATTCAGAGGTGGATAATGTGGGACAGATACACGGAAAATGAAAAGGAAATGTGTGAATAAAGAATAAAGCAGTTGGCACAGATGGAATTTCACCATGGAATTTCACATTCACTGAGAGAATGTGCAGTTGAGCTCAGCATACCACTTCGGCCGATTTTTCAGACATCCTTGTGTACAGGAGTCGTAGCAGATGTGTGGAAACAGGCTAACATAGTTCCAATCTACAAAAATGGCAGCAGGGAAGACCCCCTCAATTATAGAACTGTATCATTGACAAGTGTAATAGTCAAAATATTGGAAAACTAAAAAAACTAAATGGGTAGAACACCTGGAGAGAAATAATATAATATCAGACAGACAGTATGGTTTTCGATCTGGAAGATCCTGTGTATTGAATTTACTCAGTTTCTATGATCGAGTCACAGAGATTTTACAGGAAAGAGATGGTTGGGTTGACTACATCTATTTGGACCTAAAAAAGATTTTTGACAGATTTCCACATAAGAGGTTGTTTTGGAAACTGGAAAATATTGGAGGGGTGACAGGTAAACTTCTAACATGGATGAAAATTTTTTTGATAGAAAAATGAGGGCAGTAATCAGAAGCAATGTATTGAACTGGAGAAATGTCACAAGTGGAGTGCCACAGGGTTCAGTTCTTGCACCGGTGATGTTCATTGTCTACATAAATGATCTACCAGATGGAATACAGAATTATATGAACATGTTTGCTGATGATGCTAAGATAATAGTAAGGATAAGAAACTTAGATGATTGTCATGCCCTTCAAGAAGACCTGGACAGAATAAGTATACGGAGCACCACTTGGCAAATGGAATTTAATGTGAATAAATGCCATGTCATGGAATGTGGAATTAGGAGAACATTGGGCCCCACGCAACTTATAAATTATGTACAAAATCTTTAAAGAATTCTGATAAAGAAAGAGATCTAGGGGTGGTTGTAGATAGAAAACTATCACCTGAGGGCCACATAAAGAATATTGTGCGAGGAGCCTATGCCACACTTTCTAACTTCAGAATTGCTTTTAAATACATGGATAAGGAGCCGGTCGGCCGAGCGGACAGCACGCGGGACTTGTGATCCTGTGGTCTTGGGTTCGATCCCAGGCGCCGGCAAGAAACAATGGGCAGTTTCTTTCACCCTATGCCCCTGTTACCTAGCAGTAAAATAGGTACCTGGGTGTTAGTCAGCTGTCACAGGCTGCTTCCTGGGGGTGGAGGCCTGGTCGAGGACCGGGCCGCGGGGACACTAAAAAGCCCCGAAATCATCTCAAGATAACCTCAAGATATG